AATTATACCTTTCCTTGGTCCTTTCATTTCATTGAGGAGAATGAAAAATTTGCTTTCCAGTTGAAAGTATTTAGCCTCCAGTTCTGTGCATTTCCTATTTAAAAATAAATAAATAAATAAATAAATAAATAAATAAATAAATAAACACATTGATCTGGTTTTAAATATTCAATTGCAGTTTTTAAATGCCCTAATGTAATTTTTACATCATTTCTAAAAAGTCATACAAACTTCACTTCACCATGCTATGCTTATGCAAAAATAAACCTTACGCATTCCAAGAGTTCTCTCTCTCATTGACGTCTTTCCTCAATTGGTTGAGCTCTAGGATTTCTTTATTAAGAAATCTATTCTGGATTTCAAAAGCTGCACATTTGTCCTAAAATGTGAAGGAAATTAGACTTAGTTATCAGAATAGATAAAAATAAATTTGCAATAACAATTAGTTACCAGTTATTTAATATCTGTAAGACAATCTTGCTAGTTTGAAAATATCATGCTCCTTGAAAGTTGTACCAAATATTTAAATGTTAATATACTGGGAGATATCCAGGTTAGAACGGCTACTCATAGTCCATATTATACTAGATTTAAAATTGCAAGTAAGACAGAAATGTGCATATATTTATAGCTAAAAGTGTGGCACATCACAACATTCATCAGTACTAAAACAAGTATACCTTAAGCTCATCCAACTCCTGAGCATGAGGCATTCTCTGCAGAGTTGTATTGGTGCTGCTATTTGTTGCAGGAGGTTTTGTATTCTTCTGTAACTGACCTTCCAGCTCATAAATCTGATCAGTGAGGGCCATCACAACTTGGTCTTTGGCCATTATCATTTCTTCACAAACTGTTATTTTATCTTTTAGGCTTTGGACTTCACAAACCAGAGACCTGAAACCAAAGTATATTTGCCATGTAGCCACATTTCATTTCAATGCATGATTCCTTTGTTCAATCAAGAAAATTGATATAAAATACTGAAATATCCCAACAGAAAGCACCCCCAGTACACATAACAGTTTATGTAATAACCCCACAGGAAACCATTAAACAAATTGCCAAAAATACCTCATTCGGTCTGTTGTTAATGCTTTCTCTTCATGAGTTGCTTCAAGTAAGTATTCTAGGTCTACAAGTTGTTTATCCTTTTCTTTAATGATGTTAAACATATCTGCATCTGTCTTGGCTATCATGACAGCCTCTCTGAAATGAAGAGCATATATCTCCATCTCTGTATTTATCTATGTATCTATGTATGAACTATGTACAAACTAAGAAGAAAAAACTTAGCTTTCTCACAACTTTTATGTCAAGGGCAAAACTCTGTCAAAACCCATTAAAACTCACTTATTACGTAACACTCATTTCTCAAAAACAAAACCCATAAGCTAGAGAGTGCCATATCTACTGGTATCTAGCAAGACGGAGAATACCAAAAAGTACCTTGAGGCTTCACTTTTTGTAAGGGAGACCATTTGTTTTTGCATAAGTTTAACAAGTTCTCTGTTTGCTACAAGTTCCTCTTCCACAGTCTGAACTTCATCTTTCAGGTGGACAACATACTGTTGAAGCTTTTGTTTAAAATGTGAAATACAAATAAAAAAGAAAGTGTGGAAAATAGAGAAATAAAGTCATTTGAAAAAGTATGTCTGCATGAGACTAAAATTAAAAGAGAAAATAAAAACAGAGAAAATAAATTCCAAAATTACTAAAAGCAGTTATGATGTATATTATGTAAACTTTACTGCACTTCAGTAACATATATGCTTCTAGTCTTTTATGCAAAAACATATAATATAATGCAATTATTTATGTAGAATGCTCACCTGCTTGCATTTTTGGCAAGTGACTTCTTGACTCACAATCTTAGGTTCAGAAATTTCTCCACATACAACATCATCAGTGGCATTTGTCCAAAATTTACTAGTTGGACGGGGTGCAAACATTCTCTTCAAGCTTGCACTTTTATTCATCTTTTGTTGAGGTGGTTTTAGCTGTGAAGCAGCAGCTTCATCCCCTATGGCCACTGCTGATTGTTCTGTGCTAGGGGAATGCATGGGGCTTGTGCCCGAGTCTGGAATACAATAATAATACTGCACTTGTATTGATGAGCTTGGAATAGAATAGCACTAGTACTAGTACACATAATATAGTATAACATAGTATTACATATATATATAGAGAAGTACATTTATTGCACATCTGTTTGTGAAGATTCAAGTAAAAAGAGAAGTGTTAGAAATCATACACATAACGTCAGTCTCAGACTGGTAAGTTTGATACATAGTCTCTGCATAACAGGGAGCATTGTTATGAGAAAATTTATGAGGTTTATTTACAGCGTATCACTTCTAAACCACGAGATAGCTTTCTTTTTCTTATAAAACCAAACTGAAGAAAAAAACTTCATCAGTCCTTGTCAATAACTTTAATAAGACAGGCAAAAATTATGAATTGACATGCATGCCAAAGATACAGCCATGGGCCATATTGAGAAATACTCCATGAAATGAATTTGGATTTTTCTCCACCTTTCCCTCAGTGCCCAATTTGAAGTTCAAAGAATTAAATCATTCAAAATATTGTTTTTAAATGTATTCTACAGATCAGCATTGTAGATGTTTATTTTGTATTTCCACTACATTTTAGCACATTTAAAAATGCAATATTTATTATATCAATTTCAAACTTGACTTGTTTCACCTTGCCATAAAAATCCCCTCTTTATAATAATAATAATAATAATAATAATAATAATAATAATAATAATAATAATAATAATAATAATAACAACATTCAATAAATTCTTGAAAGTTTATTTGATAATATTATTAAAATCACACAAACACTAAGGACAAAACTTGCATATTTGAAAACCTTTTTGTTTTCAAGATAATCAAACAGTACATAAAATTTTGACATTTTACCATATTATTTGAAGTTCACAGCCACTACTAACAAACAAACCTTGCATATTTGAAAGCCTTCGAGTCTTCAGAGATGCCATACTGTTCATAATTTCTGTCTTGAGATTCCTGATCGACCAGTTTGTGAAGCCAGTGTTGGAATCACCACCCATGTAACTGTGCTCACCAACCTTCCCAACAGGAATGTCTACTGGGCTTAGTATGGCAGGCACATCCTGGTCTTCTCCGGCCTCACTGGTCTGACTGCGATTGGACTGAAAAATGATAAATAAATGAACTTCATCATATGTTTCTAATAATTTTTTCAACACTCTCCCTCTTTCTCTCTCAATACACTGATAGAGAGCTTGATGAGTTTAGTACACATACATGGTTTCTGGGGTTGGCTTAACACATCAAATTAAAAAATATATCATAAGACCCAACTTTTGCACCCTGAGCTTCAGAGATAACTTGACACTAACCTCTTCACAATAGCCTATCTTCATCGTGTCAAGTTACCTCTGACGAAAATAGTTTGACCTAGTTTATATAAGCCAATCGAATCCAAGTTTCAAAATTTTTGACCAAAGTTTGGTGAAAACGCTGATTGGTTGACTGTCAATCGGTAATCCTCGGCTGATTCCGCAAGCTCCATACTAACAACAAAGTTATTTGTCGAGTGCGGAGACATCCGAGTAGTTCCGAGTGCATAACCGTACACAAAGAAAGCATGGCGTCTCCTACGAGTAACTACATAAAATAACGTGTTATCTCTTGATTCTTTGCAAAATATGAGTATCAGAATTGAAACCAGAGCAGTTTGAGGCCCTGCATCATTATCTACTGAGGGATGATGTATTTTGCGTGCTGCCCACAGGTTACGGCAAGTCCCTGATATTCAGCCTTATCTTTGATTGGTCCGGATTTGAACAAAGCGCGCTTTGACTCGTTCGCGTTCATTGGCTAGATCGTTCAATGAGTCATTGAGTGCGGGCTTTAAATTTGATTGGCGGGCGGCGGGGGCAATCGAATGTGGTCAGAGGTAACTTGACACGATGAAGATAGGCTATTGTGAAGAGGTTAGTGTCAAGTTATCTCTGAAGCTCAGGGTGAACTTTTGAGGTTTTCAAAGCAATGTAAAAGACAAAAAAGACTTAATACATTTGTTTGTTCTATCTACACAGTAACTATAAAAATACAAAAATGATGTCAGTTTTGTCCCTTTTTTTCAAGAGGGTAAAAGAGAAAACAATATGACCACATCACTTTTACTTGTTTGGTAGCATGAGCATGTATTATTAGCTCATTTAGGAGCCAAGTAAAAAAAATAACACGCTTTTTCATTTATGACTATACTGACAATGACTAAGAGTTTTAAAGGACAAATATCTAAGTTATTCTTCATACCTTATGAATTTGAAGTGTCTTTTTCTTGCTAAACTCCCTTCTCTTTTTCTGGAGTTCCTGTAACCAATAGAGCATTGTCTGTTTGTCTTGGGCTCCTATGTCATATGTTTTATGTGGTGTGCTGCAAAATAAATAAATGAACAAATATAATAATAAAGTAAGAAATACATAAACAAATATAATAATTCCAATATAAGCAAATACATAAATAATGATAAAAAAATAAATGTGAATAGAAATGATATACTTGTTTATATGCACTGTAAATTAGTGTAAGGATAAATGGAAATGAAGATTTTGTATGGTTAACATGACTTACAATTCAGTCATACAATATTTATGGCAATTGAATGAAATAAATGTGTGTATTGTCTATATCACAATGCAAGCTTGTCTTATCATTCTCATTGAAATCTCTCAGATTTTAAATTGGCCATGGGATAATTAATAATTAACCTTAGACAAATTTTGATGAAACAATCTTTAAAACATTTTCAGTACTAGCAGATATACTGGGGGAAAAAAGAGATTGTCATTTGCAACTGATCTTAAGATAATCTATTAACTTCTAATTTTTACAATTATCCAAACAGATTGTGACATCTGAGCAAGAAGTTGTAACTTACAACTTCTTGATCTGACTTATGACTTCTTGATGCAAAATCTCCAGTTCATTTAGCATTGCAGATTAGTCAGAGGGACAGTTGAACGGATAACATGTCATGACTTCCCACATAGCATAAAGCATATTTAAGTGGTAAAGACTTTTAAAATTAAAATATAACAATGGGCAGTTCACTTTAACAGTCATTTTCCTCATCATATAACAGAACTAGCAGTCAATAAAAGACATTTTGTCACAAAGTTAGAACAAAAATACAAAACGCCCGAGTCCTACATCCCTTAAATTCTGACTGTGAACTTTGCCTCCAACTGTGTCATTCACATGATTTCCCCTCTCAGTAACACCCTCTCTCCTAAGAAAAACTTCATGACACTTGAATTTACAGAGAGGAGAAAAAAATTACCGTGGAATGCTCTTTTCAGAGTAAAAAAGACTAATACAAGGTATAAAAACCAAAAGACTTGATCAAGCTATATGTGAATATTATATACTAAGAGGACCTCTGAACAGAAACAGTGCATATTATATGCTGTCTTAGCATATGTCAATCTTAGTAAATGATCTTGTTCATACTCTTGTCGTTGTGCTGACTGCTAGATTATATTATACCTACTGCTAGTTAATGGTGGTCAGGCCAAAAGTACTATCATGATACTAAGTTGTTTCTCAAGATGACACAGGGTTCATGTCCCCTCCAAGCTACTATCAAAATGTTTTAGCACACAAATTTTCCTTCACCTTTGAATTTCTTCGCCTGTCAAGTTTTCAGCTCTGTGGGTATCTGTTATATACATTGGATGTGATGACACAAGCCCCATTGCTTGGCAATGGCAAGTCATATCCTCAGTTATAATATGCAGTCTCATGACAAACTGCAAGTTGTAGTTCTGTCATTTAGAGATATTAAGTCAAATAATGTAACCATAGTGGAAATCACATGACTTAAACAAGACTTTCTCAATAAACTAAGAGCTACCTGAAATGTTAGATTACTACTCAGATGACCCTACTGAACTACTGCTCAGATGACCTAGCTGGACTATGAGTTGCAGCTTGTCAGTTGTGACTCTATTGGAGTGTGCACACTGGTCTGATAGACAACACTTTAAGTAGATAGCCATGGACAGACAGCCTCTAGCCAGTTACCTGTGATAAGAAAGATGCTAACACTGTTGTATGCCTGTGTGACAAGAATAATGACCTTACAACATGGGTTATAAGTGGACCAAAAGGGATGTCACCCATCTCTGGAAGCCTTAATTATACAATACAGTTATCATTGTAGCATGGTGGGTGGGTGGGTGGGTGTGTGTGTGTGTGTGTGTGTGTGTGTGTGTGAGTGTGTGTGTGTGTGTGTGTGTGTGTGTAGTTCAAGCCATGTTGACTTGCTTCCAAGATGACTTTGCCCTATGTGACAGAAAAGATAGCCAGGTATTGGTCTTGACTTGCACATATTTGATCACATAAACAGTTGGTAAAATAAAAAAAATATGATATCCATAACACCAGATAGCCTTAAATTGCTTTGTGGTTTCAACAATAAGATGAGCTGCCCAACCTTGCTCATGAATATGGTTTGAAATGAGTAAAAGGGAAAAATGCATATATCAACAGAAGAAAAAGGCAGAGCTAGAATGTCTTGTACACAAACAAAACATGTTTACCTAATCTGAAACACTGCAGGCTTTTGAGGATCTGCGTTCATCGAGAAAGATGCAGCAGAGACATCTATCTCTCCTAACGGAAGAATGTCCTGCGGGGTGCGATAGTAATAAAGTTTACATGCATCTTCACTGTAAACAAACCAACGCGTTTTGTGACCTTTGCCAGGTCCTCGTGATCCCTTATTTAAATAACCACACAGTTTGTCGTCAAAACAAGGCGCCACTTCTTTGATATCTTCCATGAATCGTGTATCCATTCCTTTGCCTTTTCTCTGGGCAGGGGCTGCGGCTGCCTTCTTCAAGTTTTTGCCACCCGTCTCATAAGCGACATCAGTACTAGTATCTCCTACTCCAATGCTGGGAGAGGTATCAAAGTCCACCAACAACCCGTCCCTCTTTCGCCCAGATTGCACGAGTTTTTCTGTCATAATTATCTGTTGTTATATCATAAAACAAACCAGTCTTATCGCTCTTGTATACTTTACTTATCAAACTGCAACTTCACTTCCGCATCTTGTGTTCCTCCTCCTCACATTGGGTAAGTTTTCAATGTAAACTTACAAAAACAGAAGTCTTTGTTTCTATTTAAATCTAGGAGGAAAAGTAAGGTTGAGGATATTGATCGTTTTCTATCATAATTAAATAAAGTTCATGAATAAACAACATTGCTATTTTATTTTGCTTTTTCGAGTAGAGTGTTAATTGAAGCTAGCATTTTTGTGTCTTTGTTTATGGACCACTTACCGTGGCCTCAGCCTTCATCCGGGGAAGTTCAACATGGCAGCGCCCTGTGACAACATGACCACAATGTGAAGGGGGGAACATTTCTGGTGTAGTGCACTGTTAATATGTGAAAGCAAAGTAAAAAGTCGTGTGTGGATATTTTCTCTCTTGGTATAAACAGGTTTATTATTCTTATTATTAAGAAATATGGGTGTATAAATGCAAGACAATGAAATACACAGACATGTAAATGTAAATAATTGTTATATTCATTTTCCCAGTCTTCCATAAACTGTTTTTATACACTGTTCAGACTTTTCTCTGTCCTTGTATTCCTTTGCCAGGATTTGGTTGCTACTTTCAAGAAGTCTCTGCTTAATTTTGTTTGCCAATGCGAGACGGTTTTCCTTCTCTTCCAGTACCTTGCGAGCCTGCTGCTAGTCTATAGCTTAATTTGTCCCAATGGCTTTCTCCCCGTCACTAAGAGACTTTAACCATGAGGCTATCTTGTTGACCTTGAACATGACCTTGGCTTCCAGATGTTCAATGGTAGCACGTTGTACTCTGGCCAGGCCGGTGTCATGTACGGTCCGTTCTGTGTGAACCGTCCGTCCTGACCGATTGTACACGCAGCAGACGCGTGTATGAGCTGTTCCGTGAATGATCCATTATCATTCACCTGTACTGTTATAATTGGCTAGTTCATTTCCTACCTCATTATACATTTACTATGATGGGGATATCTCTAGGTAAAATTCATGTGTTAATTGATAATTTTGATAGAGAATCAGTTTCAAATTACAGTTCGATGCATGGATGAACCTACCGTGGACGGGACGTCCTTATTCAGCTGTTGGCCTACTACAGGTATTTTTGTATTGATTTTACTAGGCTAGTGTGTTGATATGGCCACCTGAGGGAAATCGCAGTAGAGGTGAACATCTATAAGATATGAATACTTCTAAAGATTATGTTTGAATTTGCAGTAGGGGCNAAAATAAGAAATATATAAACAAATATAATAATTCCAATATAAGCAAATACATAAATAATGATAAAAAAAATAAATGTGAATAGAAATGATATACTTGTTTATATGCACTGTAAATTAGTGTAAGGATAAATGGAAATGAAGATTTTGTATGGTTAACATGACTTACAATTCAGTCATACAATATTTATGGCAATTGAATGAAATAAATGTGTGTATTGTCTATATCACAATGCAAGCTTGCCTTATCATTCTCATTGAAATCTCTCAGATTTTAAATTGGCCATGGGATAATTAATAATTAACCTTAGACAAATTTTGATGAAACAATCTTTAAAACATTTTCAGTACTAGCAGATATACTGGGGGAAAAAAGAGATTGTCATTTGCAACTGATCTTAAGATAATCTATTAACTTCTAATTTTTACAATTATCCAAACAGATTGTGACATCTGAGCAAGAAGTTGTAACTTACAACTTCTTGATCTGACTTATGACTTCTTGATGCAAAATCTCCTGTTCATTTAGCATTGCAGATTAGTCAGAGGGACAGTTGAACGGATAACATGTCATGACTTCCCACATAGCATAAAGCATATTTAAGTGGTAAAGACTTTTAAAATTAAAATATAACAATGGGCAGTTCACTTTAACAGTCATTTTCTTCATCATATAACAGAACTAGCAGTCAATAAAAGACATTTTGTCACAAAGTTAGAACAAAAATGCAAAACGCCCGAGTCCTACATCCCTTTAATTCTGACTGTGAACTTTGCCTCCTATTGTGTCATTCACATGATTTCCCCTCTCAGTAACACCCTCTCTCCTAAGAAAAACTTCATGACACTTGAATTTACAGAGAGGAGAAAAAATTACCGTGGAATGCTCTTTTCAGAGTAAAAAAGACTAATACAAGGTATAAAAACCAAAAGACTTGATCAAGCTATATGTGAATATTATATACTAAGAGGACCTCTAAACAGAAACAGTGCATATTATATGCTGTCTTAGCATATATCAATCCTAGTAAATGATCTTGTTCATACTCTTGTCGTTGTGCTGACTGCTAGATTATATTATACCTACTGCTAGTTAATGGTGGTCAGGCCAAAAGTACTATCATGATAATAAGTTGTTTCTCAAGATGACACAGGGTTCATGTCCCCTCCAAGCTACTATCAAAATGTTTTAGCACACAAATTTTCCTTCACCTTTGAATTTCTTCCCCTGTCAAGTTTTCAGCTCTGTGGGTGTCTGTTATATCAAGAAGTTATAACTTCTTGGTTATATACACTGGATGTGATGACACAAGCCCTATTGCTTAGCAATGGCAAGTCATATCCTCAGTTATAATATGCAGTCTCATGACAAACCGCAAGTTGTAGTTCTGTCATTTAGAGATATTAAGTCAAATAATGTAACCATAGTGGAAATCACATGACTTAAACAAGACTTTCTAAATAAACTAAGAGGTACCTGAAATGTTAGATTACTACTCAGATGACCCTACTGAACTACTGCTCAGATGACCTAGCTGGACTATGAGTTGTAGCTTGTTAGTTGTGACTGTATTGGGGTGTGCACACTGGTCTGATAGACAACACTTAAAGTAGATAGCCATGGACAGACAGCCTCTAGCCACTTACCTGTGATAAGAAAGATGCTAATACTGTTGTAGGCCTGTGTGACAAGAATAATGACCTTACAACATGGGTTATAAGTGGACCAAAAGGAAGCCTTAATTATACAATACAGTATTCGTTATTATCATTGTACTGAGTAGCAGGGTGTGTGTGTGTGTGTGTGTGTGTGTGTGTGTGTGTGTGTGTGTGTGTGTGTGTGTGTGTGTGTGTGTGTGTGTGTGTGTAGTTCAAGCCATGTTGACTTGCTTCCAAGATGACTTTGCCCTATGTGACAGAAAAGATAGCCAGGTATTGGTCTTGATTTGCACATATTTGATCACATAAACAGTTGGTAAAATAAAAAAATATGATATCCATGGGGCCGTAGCGATAGTCCCAAGGTTCAATAGTCCGAAGGTTCATTGGTCCGAATTTTCACTATAAAATCTTCGGACCAATGAACCCTTGATTAAAAAATCGATGAAAATGTTACCACTTTTCGGACCAATGAACCTTCTGACCAATGAACCTTCGGACTATTGAGACGCCCCCATATCCATAACACCAGATAGCCTTAAATTGCTTTGTGGTTTCAACAATAATGCTGCCCAACCTTGCTCATTAATATGGTTTGAAATGAGTAAAAGTGAAAAATGCATATATCAACAGAAGAAAAAGGCAAAGCTATAGAATGTCTTGTACACAAACAAAACATGTTTACCTAATCTGAAACACTGCAGGCTTTTGAGGATCTGCGTTCATCGAGAAAGATGCAGCAGAGACATCTATCTCTCCTAACGGAAGAATGTCCTGCGGGGTGCGATAGTAATAAAGTTTACATGCATCTTCACTGTAAACAAACCAACGCGTTTTGTGACCTTTGCCAGGTCCCCGTGATCCCTTATTTAAATAACCACACAGTTTATCGTCAAAACAAGGCGCCACTTCTTTGATATCTTCCATGAATCGTGTATCCATTCCTTTGCCTTTTCTCTGGGCAGGGCCTGCGGCTGCCTTCTTCAAGTTTTTGCCACCCGTCTCATAAGCGACATCAGTACTAGTATCTCCTACTCCAATGCTGGGAGAGGTATCAAAGTCCACCAACAACCCGTCCCTCTTTCGCCCAGATTGCACGAGTTTTTCTGTCATAATTATCTGTTGTTATATCATAAAACAAACCAGTCTTATCGCTCTTGTATACTTTACTTATCAAACTGCAACTTCACTTCCGCATCTTGTGTTCCTCCTCCTCACATTGGGTAAGTTTTCAATGTAAACTTACAAAAAACAGAAGTCTTTGTTTCTATTTAAATCTAGGAGGAAAAGTAAGGTTGAGGATATTGATCGTTTTCTATCATAATTAAATAAAGTTCATGAATAAACAACATGGCTATTTTATTTTGCTTTTTCGAGTAGATTGTTAATTGAAGCTAGCATTTTTGTGTCTTTGTTTATGGACCACTTACCGTGGCCTCAGCCTTCATCCGGGGAAGTTCAACATGGCAGCGCCCTGTGACAACATGACCACAATGTGAAGAGGGGAACATTTCTGGTGTAGTGCACTGTTAATATGTGAAAACAAAGTAAAAAGTCGTGTGTGGATATTTTCTCTCTTGGTATAAACAGGTTTATTATTCTTATTATTAAGAAATATGGGTGTATAAATGCAAGACAATGAAATACACAGACATGATGTAAATGTAAATAATTGTTAGATTCATTTTCCCAGTCTTCCATAAACTGTTTTTATCCACTGTTCAGACTTTTCTCTGTCCTTGTATTCCTTTGCCAGGATTTGGTTGCTACTTTCAAGAAGTCTCTGCTTAATTTTGTTTGCCAATGCGAGACGGTTTTCCTTCTCTTCCAGTACCTTGCGAGCCGGCTGCTAGTCTAGCTTTGTCCCAATGGCTTTCTCCCCGTCACTAAGAGACTTTAACCATGAGGCTATCTTGTTGACCTTGAACATGACCTTGGCTTCTGGATGTTCAATGGTAGCACGTTGCACTCTGGCCAGGCTGGTGTCACGTGTACGGTCCGTTCTGCGTGAACCATCCGTCCTGACCGATTGTACACGCAGCAGAGCTGCAGAGCTGTTCCATGAATGATCCATTATCATTCACCTGTTCTGTTATAATTGGCTAGTTCATTTCCTACCTCATTATACATTTACTATGATGGGGATATCTCTAGGTAAAATTCATGTGTTAATTGATAATTTTGATAGAGAATCAGCGTCAAATTACAGTTCGACGCATGGATGAACCTACCGTGGACGGGACGTCCTTATTCAGCGGTTGGCCTACTATTTTTGTATTGATTTTACTAGGCTAGTGTGTTGATATGGCCACCTGAGGGAAATCGCAGTAGAGGTGAACATCTATAAGATATGAATACTTCTAAAGATTATGTTTGAATTTGCAGTATGTTCTGAACAGTGCATGTTTATTAAAGGCTAAGAATGTATTGATGACTCGATAGAGACGGACTGTACATGCCGGAAGTCTCTCAGATTTGCCTGCGCTTTGTGCACATGAGCAGAATGGATGGTTCACGCTCCGAGTGGTACATGCCACACCCGCTTTGACAGAGTCACCAATACTATCCAGATAGTTTGTTGTCCTTCCTCCAACCTGCCATCTGATACCAAGGCATAAGGATTGGTCTTTCTTTGATACCTCTGTCTCCACCATGTGGCCTAGGGTTTTTGTCGTGCCATCACATTTTTTACTTACAGATCGAGCCTCTTTAACCTGCTGCCTAGCTAACACTTTCATCTCATGACCAAGTTGGTGTGGTGTGCCATAGCTTGGGAGGCCTCCTGTATATTCACAGTCTATGACAGTATGAATGACAGCCTTCAAAACTTGAGATACATTTGCTTGTGATACACTGGCCACTTGTAATGACATGCAAGCCTTCTCTGATTCGGAGGGGGGGGGGGTATTTGGCTGTTCTTTGTTTCTATCTCTTTCCTACCCTCCAGTCTATCCAAGTTAGATACGTAGTACAAGTACACCTCTCTCTTAGCAAATAACATAGCTTGATGTTTCAGTTTTTTGTTTTCAGCAAGGCGCACACTAAATTCTTTCTTTAGTTGCATTAATTGATCTGAAGTGTTTTTCTTTGATTCTGTCTTGATTTCCTTGGCTTTCTTTTCAAACCTACGAGTACTCTGTGATTTCTGGAATCTCTTTATTTTTTTGTCTGGTGCTTTGTAGCTGTTTGATCATATTAGAATTTTGCTGCTCTGATTTTTTTCACTTGTTGCCTCTTTTTTCTTTCACCTTTTTAATGGTGTTATTCTTTCTTTTGAGAGCTTGGTTGATTCTTTTGGGGTTGTATAACATGACTTTCTTCTTCAGGATTGCATTTTCCTTATTAAGTCTTTGGTTCATTCCTTTAAGTTGTTTGACTTGCAGGGCCGTAGCCTGAGCAAAATGCCAGGGGGGGGCAGTAAGCAGATACGAGGGGGCGAAGCCCCCGAGGGGGGAGGGGGTGTCCTCCTACCACGGTGTGGAAAATTCCATTTCCAGGGGGGGCAACTGCCCCCCCTGCCCCCCTGGAGGCTACGGCCCTGACTTGGCATGTAAGATTCTTGATTTCTTTGGTGAAACCATCTTTTTCAGCTGGTAAAACTTCTTCCATTAGCTTGGGGCACCTTGGGGTGCAGTCATTATCCATCCCAGCACAAGAAAGTGTCCATTTCACTGAGTTTCAGACACTCGGAGCTGTGTACTTAAATGAAAAGTTCTGATTCAGAAAGCATTTGCATTTTTCACTGTCCTTAGAACTTTTTGTAAGCTTCTTTCTCTGCTCTTTCACCTCAAAGAAATTTCGTGCAAATTAACACTTTTATCCATTTTAGTGGTCAAAGGACTGTGATGTTGAGACATCACTGCAATCACATCCTTCCAGGAAACTGTTTTTTTTTCTTATTTTGAACATAGTTCAGAATGTCAAAAGCATCTTGATTGGTGATATTTCCTGGTCGAAGTTTGTGTAATGACATAATTCCATCCATCTCATTCTGTAAAATAAAGGGGAAAATTTAGGTATGCAGGTAACCGTAAAGCAGTTTCTCCACAGAAAATATCACAGATGAGAATACAATCTTTTAATTGTAAATATCATGTAATTTCTTTTTTTGTGGAAAAAAATTCAAGATTCTTAGTTTTCAATAAGGACCTTGAGCTGTGATGGGAGAGGGGGGGGGGGTGTACCCTCACAGTTTACCTATGAGGCTCACAGAATTTGACCTTTTATTATTTTTTTTCATTTATGTCTTATAAAAATTTAATGCAGAGAAAGTCGTCAGCAAACATGACCTCAACTTCAGTTGGACAGGTTTGGTGGTATCAACATGTCACATAGTGCTAACAAATGGCATAAAAACCTTGTTTAAGATGATAGATACCGAATGTTCTGACCTTAAAAATTTTGTTTACCAGCGATATTGCACATTGTCGGTTTAATTTTGCCTCAACTTTCTCTCATTTTGATATTTTCAGCACAACTATTACACATAGATTCTGACACCTCGAGGCGATCTGATGGCACAACATGCAAAAGTATTCCGGCATTCTTTTGACTTTGCCTTAAAAGATGTGAAAAACTGGTTTCCAGGCCATATGGCAAAAGGTTAGTAGCTTAGCTATTAAAGACATAGATTTGTACTTGAACATATATGAGCTATATGACCTTTGCAAATTGTTGCATGTAGCTACTAGTAGCACATGCAGTGGGGAATCCCAAATTGACAAGATATTAACTCTCCATCTGTAGACCCTTTTTTGTCTGCAATCATGTTAAAAACAGTTGAGTTGGGAAAGGTTTTTATGTAATTTAATGTTGGAAATGGGCTGTAACAGTGCTTATTTGTTTCATTTTGCTTATGTTTTTGCGATTGCAGTGAGTATTATAATATGGTTTCTCTACAGTTTTGAACAAGAAATTGTAAATGGTTGCTGTATAATATTTTTCAGGACTTAAAGCACTTCAAGGAAGGGTGAAGGATGCAGATTGTATTATTGAAGTTCATGATGCAAGAGTATCCTTTGTTTATTGTATGATTTATATTAAAAATGGTGTGAATACAACATGATGTTTATGCTTTTTGTTTTTCTATCACACACATACTTTTTTGATTTGTCACTGACTGAGAGTAATTGATGAAATTATGTAAACTTGTAACTTATCTTGACTAATTTAAGATACCCTTTTCTGGGAGGAACAAAGTGTTTGGACAAACACTTATGATAAGGCCTCATATTTTACTTCTGAACAAGGTATTTATAAAAAATGAAGTAATAATTAATTTTCACTTTTTCTCTGGTAAGTGATTGTAAATATTATATCAGTAGCTTAACTCTTTTAAAACAATTAAGTGGATATGTTTCCACTGCTTATTAGTGTATACAATCTAAAATTCTCTAATTCTTAGAATAGAGCATGAGTTTTTACTTGGTAAAGTTGTTTTATCTAACACAGCCAATCATTAATTAATATTTATATATTTATTAGGGTATTTATTTATTTTAAATTATGATGAGTTTGACATTTGTGTGTTTACATGTAGACATGATATTTTAGCTATTATTCATACTTGATGAATGAATGAATGAATGGATAATAATTTTACATTTATTTTTAGAAGGACCTTGCGGACATGTCAATGCAAAGCCAAGTTGTAGCCAAGTTAAAAGAAGAGGGCATGGCAAGAGTCTTGTTCACAAATTGCAAGGATCAGTATGGTAGTGCTCTAACCAAAAAGGTGCAGTATGAATACAAAAAATTAATCTTAGAACTGTATCTGCCTTTGTGTACATAGCTAATGTTTTAAGAATGGCAGTTTATGCTTTTACGACAAGTCACATCTTGGATTTTAATTGCTTTACAGCTTATTCCAGCAATCTTAGATGTGGTTGAGGAGTACCCAAGATACAACAGAAGTGAGGTGTGTATGTTACATAGTTTTAATATTGATGTATTGTAAAAACATCTGCTTAATCAGAACAGCATTCTCTGGCTTCAAGATTTATTCATGCTTATAATTTGAATTAAACTTGCTAGGCTAAAATTACTCATTATTTTTAGGCAGATGAGCTGAAGCTCCTTGTTATAGGTGTACCTAATGTTGGAAAGTCATCCTTGATAAACAGTTTAAGAAGAATGCACATAAAAGGAAAGAAAGGTGTGGTATAAATTATTAAAGAATTCTTTTTGATATTTGTTCATGTACCACTACAAATTTGTCCCTGTCTTTATAGTGTTATGTTATACTATTCAGGTAAAGCTACTTCTGTTGGAGGAGTTGCAGGCGTAACCAGAAGTTTAATGGAGAAAATAAAGGTAATGTTTGTACTTCATTAAAGCTAGTAAATTTTGTTTAAGAAAACTTTTACTAGCAGTGAGGATGAATGTCAGAGGTAAATTATGTGATGAACATTTTATAAATGTGAACAATTCTTTCTTTTATAGCCTCTTAAGTAATTTTATAATAACCGAGCAAATCCTTCATGGACAACATATACACACACACTTATGTATCTAGTACCCATTCATTTATTTATATTTTAATATTTTAAACTGTAAAGTCTTAATGATAAGAAATAAATATAGGTGTACAAAATTCAAATCTGCACATTTTTAAAATGCACAAGAGTGAAAATTGTGGTGTCCTTCGTGCCTTCTTTTTCATGTGTTACTCTGGGTCTTTGTAAATATTATTTTAAAATAGAGAATGATTTCATCTATATTACTGACCAAACGTGAGATTGGTTAAAACCTATCAAGCATTATGTAGGCAATGGAAGCACTTGTCATAGATCAGCACATTTATTCCCTTAGCCTTTTACCTGTCATACTATAAAGCTTTTATAAGAGCTTGGTGAAGCAATAGACTTTAAGTTCGCATNTTTTGTAAAAATTAAATTTTTCACATATTGGCATTTTCAAGGTATGACACAGGCTTGAAGACCCAGGCTAGTCACATTTTCTGAAAATCCATGATACATATATTTTGTTATTAAAAATTGATTGTCATTATGCTGTTAAACATTATGTAATATTGCATCAGAATAGAAGAAAACAAAATTTTGGGTGCTGCTGCCATGATGACCATTATGGGAAAACCATGTTACTTATGATTGCCAACCTTTCAAAAAAGAAATACAGGACTAAAATGCAGCCTGAGTTGGAAAAGCAGTCTTCTTTTTCTGGAAGTTTTACATTTTCAAAGTGTGAACTTGAACTCCCATGGGCCTGAAGCCTTATGCTTGTTTCACATTTTACTTACATTGGTATTACCTGTTGAGCATAATTAAAATTTGAAGTTGAATTTGCAGTTTAACATAATGTACTTTTGCATCAGAATTGACAGTAGCCTATTTTTTTGCATAGTTATTTCCTGTTTTTTGTCTGTACATTTGACAGCTTTGCTGCCTTGTTAATGGTGTTATTCTTTCTTTTGAGAGCTTGGTTGATTCTTTTGGGGTTGTATAACATGACTTTCTTCTTCAGGATTGCATTTTCCTTATTATGTCTCTGGTTCCTTTAAGTTGTTTGACTTGGCATGTAAGATTCTCGATTTCTTTGGTGAAACCATCTTTTTCAGCTGGTAAAACTTCTTCCATTAGCTTGGGGCACCTTGGGGTGCAGTCATTATCCATCCCGGCACAAGAAGGTGTCCATTTCACTGAGTTTCAGACACTCGGAGCTGTGTACTTAAATGAAAAGTTCTGATTCAGAAAGCATTTGCATTTTTCACTGTCCTTAGAACTTTTTGTAAGCTTCTTTCTCTGCTCTTTCACCTCAAAGAAATTTCGTGCAAATTAACACTTTTATCCATTTTAGTGGTCAAAGGACTGTGATGTTGAGACATCACTGCAATCACATCCTTCCAGGAAACTGTTTTTTTTTTTTCTTATTTTGCACATAGTTCAGAATGTCAAAAGCATCTTGATTGGTGATATTTCCTGGTCGAAGTTGGTGTAATGACATAATTCCATCCATCTGTAAAATAAAGGGGAAAATTTAGGTATGCAGGTAACCGTAAAGCAGTTTCTCCACAGAAAATATCACAGATGAGAATACAATCTTTTAATTGTAAATTTTAATCATGTAATTTCTTTTTTTGTGGAAAAAAATTCAAGATTCTTAGTTTTCAATAAGGACCTTGAGCTGTGATGGGAGGGGGGGTGTACCCTCACAGTTTACCTATGAGGCTCACAGAATTTGACCTTTTATTATTTTTTTTCATTTATGTCTTATAAAAATTTAATGCAGAGAAAGTCGTCAGCAAACATGACCTCAACTTCAGTTGGACAGGTTTGGTGGTATCAACATGTCACATAGTGCTAACAAACGGCATAAAAACCTTGTTTAAGATGATAGATACCGAATGTTCTGACCTTAAAAATTTTGTTTACCAGCGATATTGCACATTGTCGGTTTAATTTTGCCTCAACTTTCTCTCATTTTGATATTTTCAGCACAACTATTACACATAGATTCTGACACCTCGAGGCAGATCTGATGGCAAAACATGCAAAAGTATTCCGGCATTCTTTTGACTTTGCCTTAAAAGATGTGAAAAAATGGTTTCCAGGCCATATGGCAAAAGGTTAGTAGCTTAGCTATTAAAGACATAGATTTGTACTTGAACATATATGAGCTATATGACCTTTGCAAATTGTTGCATGTAGCTAGCACATGCAGTGGGGAATCCCAAATTGACAAGATATTAACTCTCCATCTGTAGACCCTTTTTTGTCTGCAATCTTGTTAAAAACAGTTGAGTTGGGAAAGGTTTTTATGTAATTTAATGTTGGAAATGGGCTGTAACAGTGCTTATTTGTTTCATTTTGCTTATGTTTTTGCGATTGCAGTGAGTATTATAATATGGTTTCTCTACAGCTTTGAACAAGAAATTGTAAATGGTTGCTGTATAATATTTTTCAGGACTTAAAGCACTTCAAGGAAGGGTGAAGGATGCAGATTGTATTATTGAAGTTCATGATGCAAGAGTATCCTTTGTTAATTGTATGATTTATATTAAAAATGGTGTGCATACAACATGATGTTTATGCTTTTTGTTTTTCAATCACACACATACTTTTTTGATTTGTCACTAACTGAGAGTAATTGATGAAATTATGTAAACTTGTTACTTATCTTGACTAATTTAAGATACCCTTTTCTGGGAGGAACAAAGTGTTTGGACAAACACTTATGATAAGGCCTCATATTTTACTTCTGAACAAGGTATTTATAAAAAATGAAGTAATAATTAATTTTCACTTTTTCTCTGGTAAGTGATTGTAAATATTATATCAGTAGCTTAAAGGGATAATAACTCTTCATATGATATCTTTATTTCACAATAAAAACATTGTGAACAACTCATAGAAATATAATATATTCTGTTTTACCACAAAAACAGCAGTTATAGCTATTATTCTGAGATCTGAGCGTGTCTTCAGATCACGTGACTTCCATTGATGGCTGTACTCTGTTAAAATCTCTTAAGAGATTTTAACAAAAAACCAAACTTTTTAGAAAAAAACCAGGGACTAACTTTGAATGTAAAAATGGATTCATTGACCATTGGTTAGTATGGGAAAATTGTTGTTTACTCCAGGAAAATTCATTTTTTGGCCAAAACGAAGAGTTATTATCCCTTTAACTCTTTTAAAACAATTAAGTGGATATGTTTCCACTGCTTATTAGTGTATACAATCTAAAATTCTCTAATTCTTAGAATAGATCATGAGTTTTTACTTGGTAAAGTTGTTTTATCTAACACAGTCAATCATTAATTAATATTTATATATTTATTAGGGTATTTATTTATTAAAATTTTTGATGAGTTTGACATTTGTGTGTTTACATGTAGACATGATACTTTAGCTATTATTCATACTTGATGAATGAATGAATGGATAATAATTTTACATTTATTTTTAGAAGGACCTTGCGGACATGTCAATGCAAAGCCAAGTTGTAGCCAAGTTAAAAGAAGAGGGCATGGCAAGAGTCTTGTTCACAAATTGCAAGGATCAGTATGGTAGTGCTCTAACCAAAAAGGTGCAGTATGAATACAAAAAATTAATCTTAGAACTGTATCTGCCTTTGTGTACATAGCTAATGTTTTAAGAATGGCAGTTTATGCTTTTACGACAAGTCACATCTTGGATTTTAATTGCTTTACAGCTTATTCCAACAATCTTAGATGTGGTTGAGGAGTACCCAAGATACAACAGAAGTGAGGTGTGTATGTTACATAGTTTTAATATTGATGTATTGTAAAAACATCTGCTTAATCAGAACAGCATTCTCTGGCTTTAAGATTTATTCATGCTTATAATTTGAATTAAACTTGCTAGGCTAAAATTACTCATTATTTTTAGGCAGATGAGCTGAAGCTCCTTGTTATAGGTGTACCTAATGTTGGAAAGTCATCCTTGATAAACAGTTTAAGAAGAATGCACATAAAAGGAAAGAAAGGTGTGGTATAAATTATTAAAGAATTCTTTTTGATATTTGTTCATGTACCACTACAAATTTGTCCCTGTCTTTATAGTGTTATGTTATACTATTCAGGTAAAGCTACTTCTGTTGGAGGAGTTGCAGGCGTAACCAGAAGTTTAATGGAGAAAATAAAGGTAATGTTTGTACTTCATTAAAGCTAGTAAATTTTGTTTAAGAAAACTTTTACTAGCAGTGAGGATGAATGTCAGAGGTAAATTATGTGATGAACATTTTATAAATGTGAACAATTCTTTCTTTTATAGCCTCTTAAGTAATTTTATAATAACCAAGCAAATCCTTCATGGACAACATATACACACACACTTATGTATCTAGTACCCGTTCATTTATTTATATTTTAATATTTTAAACTGTAAAGTCTTAATGATAAGAAATAAATATAGGTGTACAAAATTCAAATCTGCACATTTTTAAAATGCACAAGAGTGAAAATTGTGGTGTCCTTCGTGCCTTCTTTTTCATGTGTTACTCTGGGTCTTTGTAAATATTATTTTAAAATAGAGAATGATTTCATCTATATTACTGACCAAACGTGAGATTGGTTAAAACCTATCAAGCATTATGTAGGCAATGGAAGCACTTGTCATAGATCAGCAAATTTATTCCCTTAGCCTTTTACCTGTCATACTATAAAGCTTTTATAAGAGCTTGGTGAAGCAATAGACTTTAAGTTCGCATTTTTTTTCATTTATTGCAGGTGTGTGAAGACCCTTTGATCTACCTCTATGACAGTCCAGGAATCCTGCAACCAAATATCAAAGATGTTGAAGTTGGAATGAAACTGGCACTGTGTGGTGAGCTTGCTGAACATTGCTTATGGACTTCGATGCTTCAATTTTAAATTAGTGTTTTGTGTGAGACAAAAAAAAAAAAGATGTTCTTGACTAATTTTTGCATTCTTACACCATCAGTTTAACTCAACAAAATTGTTATTGACTCATTGAGGTACAGAAATGTATACCCATGCATGATATTGTTTTCTAGATATGTATTCCATTAATAAACAGTATGTAGTTATATGTCAAATTCACTGAAATGAATTCCATCGGTTTCCCCTCATTGAGGGTACTGGTTTATGATTATCAAAATACCAAAAAGGAGTTTTTTTTGTGCATCTAATCATTCAATAATACCTTTCTGCTGATTAAAAACAATAAAAATCCCTCTTGAAGTATAAAGCATGTTAGCATTTATACAACTTATTGCTAAGTGTAAGTATATGTATAGGCACCTCAGTGTTTATTAAAGATAGAATTTCAGTCAGGCATTAGCAGGGATAATGTATCGAATAAATCTATTATATTTTGACTAAATATTGGCATAAAATAACATATTTTAGTTGATTCAGTCTTGTTTACATTTTGTTTCAGCAACAGTTCAAGATCATTTAATTGGTGAAGTCACCATTGTAGACTACATGTTATTCTGGCTAAATAAACATGGATATTTCACGTGAGAGAATTCAATTCTTGTTTTCAAAAAGAAATGTATCAAATTGAGAAAAGTTAAAAGGATGTATACAAAGATGTAGTTATATGTCAGTCATTTATTCATTGTCATTTATTTCTGAAACATACTACCTTTTGGCACATGGTCTAAATGCTAAAATATATGTTTACAATGGCAAGTAACTATGTATCAAGTCATGAGGATAAATGCTAATATTAATTTTTCCTGCATTTCAGTTCACATACACAGCTTAATTCCACGCATTGTTTGAAGTAAAGTAGTAATATTTGTTTATCTTTTATGTGATTTATAAAAATTATGTTACCCAAATACTGCTGATATAAATCATTTTTGTAGCAAAGACATTAACCTTAAGTTTCCTCATGTATGGCAATGCCATTTTTATCAAATGTCATCTTTATCTGTGTTTAGGTATGTGAAACATTTTGAATTAGATGAGCCTGTGGATGATGTGAAGGAATTTCTTGCCCATATTGCAAGAAAACACAAGAAAATACTAAAACAGAAATCGGTGGAAAGTAAGTTTAATTTTGCTTCAGCTTTTTTTTTTTAATTTTAGTTTCTCAGACATGAATTTTTTCGGCAGAATCACAAAATTTCAGATTTTTTAATGCAAATTCTGAAGTGTTCTGAGAGTTTTCAAGTCCAGCACCACAATAAATGTTCAGATTATTTTTTTCAAACCCAGGTTCATGTCTGGTTTCTGTTTGGTGTTATTTCATAAAATTTAACCAACTGCTACTTTTTCCACTTAAAGTTAGTTACTCTTCTAATTTGACATGGATGTTTTTTTTCAACGTACACATTGATATTCCATATTTTTCAGCAAATCAGTACGTTTACAGGCTAGACTTTCAAAGTGCAGCAGTTATAGCATTAAAAGCATTCAGACAAGGGAAGCTTGGCAAATTCACCCTTGATGAAGACATAATTCCATGCTGAAAATGCTGGAATCGAGTTGTGCTGCTGGGTTGTCCACGTCCGTCTTCTACACGTGGAAGTGAATTTTAAAGTGAATGTAAATATTTGTTTTAAAAAAAATTCAAGGGATAACTTCACATGCTACAGAAGATACAGCTTTATCATGACTTTGGTGGAATATCAAACTATAGTTTAACATCTACTATCAAATGCAAGTCACCATGAAAGTACAAGAAATGCATTAACTGCTCACTCTGCTTAAGCAAAGTGCATAGAGTGTAAAAAGTATTTTTAATTGTTACTTAAGGGCATTTTTTATTTTAGAACTTTACACAGATAGATAATAAATACTCATGTGTGACTAATCATGTCAGAAACAAAAGTTATTACTTCTGCAGGTCCATATCCTTCATTCAATCACATTAACTGATTTCTGAAACTTGCATCTCCATATCAGTGGCACCCATGCACACTTAGATCAAGAGTGCAGAGTTGCTCACCAACTGATTGATGATGATAGAGCCATTTTCCTTCTTGTAAAGAAAACTTATAAATAAATGCAGTCTATGCAAGGTAAACACTAAAGAAAAGTTAATATCATATCTGCCGTTCACTATTGGTATCTTCTTAATAAACTACATGAAAAGTTGAGACAAGAACATCAATTATGCTTGATGATTATGGGCAATGGTCCATATAAACTTCAGTTTTTTAGTTGATTCAAGCATAAGAAAATGTTAATTTTAAATTTGCTATCATACGTTTTTGAAATGAGTTAGAAATAAACTGCACAGTTTGACAAGGTTTCTAATTTTTTATGTAGAATTGGTGACCTGTTGCTGTGGCAAACATATTTGTAATTCTGCTCAATATCTATAATAAATGATATATTTATCTGTATTGTGTATGTGGAGAATAGTTCAACTTTATATCACAAAAATTTGCAGTGGTTGTTCAGATCGGAAGCATATGAAGAACAAAACCAAGGCTGAATTTTTTTGGTAAGATTTCTTGTGAAAGAGTACTAGATCTAGTAAACAATACTTTAATAGACAGTCTAGTTAACACATTTTTATCGAGGAATTGAAAACATACAGTGAGAAAACTATGAAACACCATTTTGTGGTCCTATACAACATACCAAAAAGTGGCTTTAATATCACTGATAACAACCTACTTTTGCAATTTCTATAGCTAAATTTGAAATTAAAGAGATTTTCATCAGCAAACCAGACATTATTTATAATTGCACAAATAGGGCATCAAAAACTCTCATAAATCCCCCTTGGCCCACTGAAATTGATTACTCATTTCGTATTCACATATATCTAATGCAACTTCACAGCTCTCCTTTACAACTCTCTCTGAATCTTTGAGATAGTCCTGCAAAACTGTCATGCTCTCTTCTGTTGCTATAGAACCCAGTGCTTCAGCACATTCATGTCGGACCATTGGATGCTCCTGTAAGTCTTTGAGATTTTCAATAAGCTGTGTTACACAAGCTGGATGCTGCATCTGTCCTAGTACATAGGCAATCTCATGTCTGAATAGAGCACTGTTGCATTTTAAACCTAAAGACAAACATGAAACCTAATTTAAAAACCTGTGTTTCATTTTATTGATGCCTTCATTAATTTCTTTAGTTGTGGAAGCTTCATCATAAGACATTTCCTCTGCTTCAATTTCAGCATGACAAAACTGAATGTATGATTGTAAGTATCACTAAAGAAAAACCTAATTTTCAACATATAAGACTATTCTATTTACTTCATATCTTTTCTATTTATTTATACACAATCTTACTTATTTATACATAATGCAAAGCATTTACATACAATAAAAATATTTTAGCTTTAAATTACAACCAATCAAATGCATTTTAAGGGAAAAAAACAATATTGTTACCTTCAGCCAATGCTAATACTGATGCGGAATCCCCTATGTTCCTGAGCGAAAACATTGCCCTATATCTTTGAAACAGTGGCAACTTTTCATCCAATAGTGTCTGTTTCAAAATATGGACACTGTCTTCAGCACAGGGTGGAGCTGGGTCAACTGAGAAATATGGGTTTTCTGTTATGGCCTCCCTTTTGTTTGTATCACTATGCAGCCATTCCAATCTTTTCAGAGCCAACTCGCAGGTTTCAGATAACTGGAAATAAGAATTAACACTGATAAGGCAGTCAAATGATTTATGAGGTATTATCAAAGTACATCAAATGAGCCTTAAACTACAAATAAAAATCTACATTTAATTTGATACATTTTAATCACTAAAATTAAACAGCTCATGAGATATTTATTAAATTAGAAAATGTGTAACAGCTTTTAACATTGCCTTGCACGTACCTCTAAAATTGGATCTTGTAAATATTTCTTTAGTACAGCAATGACTTCCTTAGAATTCACTCCAATTGCTCCTAGTGCTTCCCCTAGTGATACACATGCACATTGGATTAGTTTCTAAATTTAACCAAATTCAAATAGCTTTTAATGAAACAAAATATTACTAAACTTTCAATTTATTTTAAGTTAAGACTTAACACACGTGTATTAACTTACATGTACTGGTATATAAGCTATAATACCCCGGTATTTTAATGAGTATTAACTGTGGGAGTGTGAGTAGATTCTTAAAACATGCAAATAATGTTAAATTTCGTACATTTTATTACGTTGTTCGTAACAACTATTATCATAGCAATGTCGGTTTTTTACTTACAGGCTTATAGTACGTCTGTGCTGGTAAATTTTACTGACCTGCTTCGTGTCTTACTATGGGGTCTTCGTTAACATTTTCCAACACTTGAATCAACGTTGATATGGCCATGGCGTCTTGCATCTGCCCTAAACAGTATGCACATTCATGTTTTAGTAAGGCTGAAGAATCAGAAAATCCCTTCGATATACACTCTATTGCATCCTTTCCACCAATGTTCTTCAATGCGAATAAGGCGCGGTATCGCTGTTTCATCGGTCGGCTATCGTCCTGCAGAAGTTGTCCTATTGAGAGAATTTGGTCCCTAGTAAAATTCTTCGCCATTACGAGCTTGAAAAAATAAAGGGATTGTAAGACCACTACGTGTATACCAAGAAATATGTGAAAATGTTAAGTAATTTAACCAACCCACGTTTCGTGATGAAACGACCTTCACCTGTAATACAGAAAATGTGGAATATACACAACGTGGAACATACGTGCCTGTTATAACAGACTACATTAAGAACGCTGGAGACAGGGGAATCAGAGATGCACTTTTTATCAGTTTAACTCTATAAAGAATAAAAAACACACGGAATATTTTTATAATAATTTCACTGACGTGCCGTCAAATGTAAACCCGATCTTAGTTTCTTACGCTTCCATCACGGGAGAGCCGAGACACCAAAACAAAATTTGTTAGAAGCACAGAGTTGCGGTAAGAAATTGGAACTTAGTGATTTATGGTTTTTTATGCCTTTTGTTCGCATTGCTTAACGATCTAATATAGTAGTGCCAAAGTCCATATTGTTCAGTGTGTTTGACTTATCGCTCGGGTACAAGATATTGTTCACGCAAAATCATACTTTCCATAGGCTATTACAGGCGGAAAATGATATCGTGGACCCGCAACTGTTATCTTATCAACCGCACCGAGACTGAATTTATTACTCCTAACTGATTATAAAAAATTGAATCATTTTATCTAGGTGACGGTCAGTGCGTCCCACAGTATTACGGATCGAACAATGACAAAGGCAATGTAGGTATTGTGTTTCTACAATACAGTTACATGAACATGTACAGTACATGTAGTACTAACACACTGTAACTGTATTTTGGAAAAAAAGTATGCTCTACACAGCCGTCACTGGTAAAGCAGATTCCTTGAGCACAGTTTGAGCTGATAGAGGATTGTACTCAAACAACTACTAGTGGATATACCTGTGGCATTCCATATCAATGAGGCCTGACTGGACTGCTCAGTTTCTTTATCGAGAAGACATAACACTTTTACTTCTGAATTATTTGCTGTTCTCAACAATTGTTCTGACATTTGTGATATTTTTGATGATCCTGACCCAAGCCTCATCAGATGGTGATGATCCATATCTTGATGCATTTGCCATTATGGCATTGATGGGTACATCTTTCTTTATATCTAATCTACTGCTTGCACGATATATGGTCCAGGCTATGATAGTGAGCAAGGAGATACGTCGCATAAGGATTTGAAGATAGTCCATACATACTATAGTGAGTTTTAGCATGATGTGAGATAGTAATAGTTCATAGATCATTATTTGTACACAAGCAAAACGTTGTGAAGCTTGAATTTTTAAAGTAGCATATGGCCAACTTGAACAAAGGTCTCCATCAGAGTGAGTATAGATATTATTTTTGACTGCTTTGTAAGCTAGTGTAAAAGCTTCATAATCTTTAATGTTTTATGTACAACTAATGGTCTTTGTACTCTATATAAAAAGCTGATGGATATTTTTTTGCAGAAATATGTAGAGCTAGTTTTGAATTTAGTAATGGTCTATTTATATTTCAAAATTTTATAAAATTTCATGTTAATTACCTCTCATTGGTCTTTCTTTACATATACCTGATACAGTTTTATTTCATATACTAGTTCCATGAAGGAATTTTACAGTTACCATATTTTATTACTCTTTAGAAATCAGGTTTTACTATTACGTCATGTAAAGTAGGGTGTTTGCTTTTTTTGAGCACTTACAACTACAATTAGCCACGAAATTTCTTACATCTAATATATTGCCATATTTATTGTAACTTCAGTAGATTTTTTATTTCAGATACATCAGTACCATTGCAATATCATGACATCAACTGAAAGAACAGTGGGGATGGCAGACACTTTTAAGGACTGTGATACTAAAAGCATGGAGGACATTGATGAGGAAATGGAGTCCCTAAGCATTAAACCTAGTGAGGATGAATCAGAACTTATAGTGGATGGCTTCATGGTCAGTGGCACTTTCACAGATGTAGCAAGTAACCAGTGTAGGACGCCAGTTATTCCTAGTTTTGAAGAGAGTAGTGACACTCTGGTAGAGGGCCCTGACAGTAGGGCTATCAGCCCTGTTGGACATAGCCTCACTGCAACAAAGCTCAAAGTGAGCTCTTCCAATCTGATCCAAGCAGTGGTTTTGTCACTATGGGACAACATTGTAGGACCAAGGATACTTCATGTGTGGAAAGGGGAAGCGTGCAATGAAACTGTAGAAACTTTTAAATACCTTTCCATTTACACACTGAATGGTGAAATATGCCGTGATTTAACCTGTGGAGGTATAGACACCAAATTTTACGTGATGTCTCGCAGAAAACTGTGCGTTTTAGCACTGATTTTTGGGGCAAAGGGCAAATGTGGACCAAGTGTGCACTGTCTCTCTGTTGTCATGTCTAGTAATGATTTACAGAAATATGTCACTTGGCAGCGTACTCTTCATGCTTGGCTCAAGAGGAGAATAGCAGTCCTCCGGGTGTTAATGGAAAAGGTACTTATGAACAAAATAGAATTTATAGAGGTCAAAAGAAACAAAAAGCATAAGAAGTGGTGAAATAACATGAAACGTTATATAAGTAGCTCAGAATAAGTTATAATTAAGGTCCCATTAACTTATACATTACACATGATCCTTAATTGTTTTTTTATTGTTACTATTTTTTAAGGTTAAAATTAAAATTTTGTAATTTACCAAAAATGTGGCATATTGCTGTGGCATATTGCTATGCATATTATAGATTGGGATTTCAGTAAACATGAATGTGAAAGGTAAAGAGGCTTGCAGCATGCAAGATTTTCAAGTATTCCTATTTTATATATAGATAGCTGCCTTAATCTCCAAAGGCACATAACATCCTGCCTTAGTATAAAAATTCATATCTACTGCTCAAAATTTGCAGTTACACAATGTGAAGATCATGCCTCTGAAACAGCTATGAGGCATAACAAGGGAACATTAACAACAACCAATGTTGATGTTTTGGTTTCAATATTCAGTTTCACTACTTTTTTATATAATCTAAACAGAAAAGCGTAGTTTTTAAGTTAGATAAATTGTGCCTTGCAGGATATTTTATCTTGGTTCATATTGTAAAACTATCAATTCCAGCATGTTAAGTGCTAATTTTTAAAGCATTCATTAGAAGGGGAATGTTAAGAAAAAAATTGTTGCAGAGAAGCTATGCATGGTGCCTATAGTCAGATACCTTGAGATTGGGTATTATGTTCTGTTTTCTGGGTATATAATGTTTTTTGGTAGTTGTCTATGTTTCCTGGTTATGTGTCGTGACTGTTTGATGAAGCAGGGATGCATGTAATCATTCACTATATTTAACTAGGTGAACAAATAAGTGATTTTATAAAGAGTACTGTGAGTTTTGAACTCCAGAGAACAAGGGGCAAAGGTTGGGAACCCAGGATATATGCTATTTTTTTTTTCAAACAAAATCCTCAGTATAGTTCTCTATATATCCTAAATAATACACTTTTATTATTATTTTCAGGATGAGTATGACAAAGGCATACATTTTCTGAATGCCTCCATTAATAAAACCATGAGGATGCTTCAGTCTTTGCAGTTGGATGGCTTGCCTTCTTGCATCAAGGTAGGTAAAACCTTACAGGTATGTATTGATTCTCTATTTAAGTCTGCCTTCCCTTGAAATATCGATAAAATCCAACCTATGCATACCTTTTGGCATTTCTTGAACTGTTCAATTTACCTAAGGGCGCATTCCCATAGATTTTAGATCGATCTATCCCCGTGGAGAGTCTCACTAGATTACTGTCAGATAATCCGGCTTACATGTCTGTCCCGCCTGCTACAAGCTATATGGGGATAATTAACTTCCGTGCGCGGTCGGCTGACTGCAATTTAGCGTGAACCCCAGGGAGTTAGGTTGATCTAGTAAGATCGATCTAAATCTCTGGGAATGCCCTTTAAGAGAAAATACCACTGTTTACAGTGTTTTTTAAAGGGATAACAACTATTAGCAAGATATCCATATTTCACTAAAAATACATTGCAAACAACTCACAGAAATAAAATATAATCTATTTTACCACCAAAATGGCAGTAAACACATTTATTCTGGAGTTTGTACTTGCCATCACATCACATGGCCTCCATAGATGGCTACACTTTGTAATAATGTCGTAAGAGAATATTACAAAATAAGACCAAACTTAAAAAAAAAAAAAAACGGGGACTAACTTTGAATGTGGGAATGGATTCATTAACCATTGGGACGTATGGGAAAATTGTCCTTTATCCCAGGAAAATTCATTTTTGGCAAAAATGAACAGTTGTTATCCCTTAAATCTATCAGAACTAAAATTCACAAAGTAAGCTTAAAAATTTATAGCATGTAGCTGATGGAGATATATGCGTCTGATGATGAATAGTAAAGTGGTTTGAAACAAGAAATTATCAAGAGAAGGAGCGGAAAAGATCTCACAAATCTAATAGGCTGTTATTGGAGATTTGCACATTCAAATGAGCACTCTAAAGCAATGGGTGTTATGAAAGCAAAACTAGCAGCAGTATGGGGTGGATCAATGGTTTTTTGGGGATTTTGCCATTATTTAAGTTTCAACAATATATGGTTCAACTAAAACATTTTTTAAGTGGAAGGAAATATTTAGTTTCGTGGTTATAAAAATATATTATAATAACTTGCTATTTTACAGCTGGAAGATACTTATTTTTACAACGAAGATTCTTCAAAGGATTTTTTGCTTAGAAAATCTATCACTTCTCATCTCATGACTTGTGGACGAAGTGTTGTCACTGGCACAGTTGACAGTGAAATTAATAAAGTAAGTTATCCTCCAATTGAAATGAACCAGTCATTTTGACCACAGTATAGTTGAATACCATTCATTTTGGCTGAATGATATTTTGCACTATGTGTATGTATCGGAAATGAATCACTGTAGATATAGATAAGATGATATTGTGGTTAAGAAAATGGATTCTTATTTGGTGTTTAAAAGCATGCAACACACTTTCCTTTTTTTTTCACTTAAAATTTTACAAAGTAACTAGGACTACCAAAAATAAAAACAAGTTATATCTTTTCAGATGGTTTCCACTTTGGCTTTGTTCAATACTTCAGCTGAGAGACAGTGCAGTAGATTTTGTAGCCATGAGAGAAATTGGCCATACCACCATGATCTATGTGTGCAAGGATGGCTTCCTCCTTCATACAATCTGAGGGTAGATAATATAAACATCTCATTCTCTGTTCCAATTGAGTGATTTTCCTGCATAAATAATCAAAGAATCAGAAATAACCATAAAATCAAGTCTGTTCAAACATTCCTTTTTTTTCTTTTCGGAATGTGATTATTCTGTACCCTTATGTATGAAGACTCCTAAGCAATTAATTGTCATTTTGTATAAGCTGCAGTACTTTTTTACAGCAGTCAGTATTGGATAAGATTCCATTGGGAGAGATGCAATGTGCTGAATATCCTACATCCATAATTGATGTAAAGACACACGAGGTCAGACAGACACTACCTGTAAATGAACACCACACAAGACGGCACGATTTCTTATCACAAGAGGTCACTCATCCTTACTCAAAACATGATGTCAAATATCCAGAGAAGTGAGTGTACTTTTCCTTATGTTATGGAATATTTTGCTGTTTGCTTTTACACAGGTCAGTTCCCATAGCAAACAAAGCTAAGATAAGAAGCTGAAGAAAGCTGACCAGACAGTGGACCTCAACTTTGCACGGTTGACAGAATATATCTCAACATTACAGAAAAATATTTGTTTTAAGCTGTTTGACACTATCAGTTCATTTCACTAAACGCCTATTATGCAAATTAAACTACACTACATGGAAGAAAAGATACTAAAATTGTAATTACAGGCCTCATAAATGATAATTGCTGTTTACTAACACGAGCCTTATATTTGGGAGCACAAATGCACAAATTACCGACTCCAGCCACAAATTAGGTACCCCAATATAAAGTAGAAGGACTGACATAAAGGTCTGATGTATAGATCAAGTTTCAAAATTAGCCTGAATAGTTCATTTTTGTTGAAGTTATGCTGTTTTTTGTATATAGGTGAGTTTTCCTCGGATTCATTTCTCAGGGATGTTAATAGTATTAAACTTATTATATTTGTAAAAGTGTTCTTTGACATTTTTCTTCATCTTTTAAAATTTTGTGAGTTGATTATATAAAAATGATGGCAAGTCTATCATTGTGTAATAAAGTGTCAAAAATGGAAATAAACCTAGATCAGTTCAGTTTGTCAGATTCAATCCCTCACTTTGTTCTTAATGTCAGAATGGAGCAAATTGGACATTTAAAATTGTTATATTGATATTTTCCCCATTTAACATTTTTTTTGGTTGATCATTTAAAAATGAAAGTAAATTGATGTTTATGTATTTTGTAATAAGTGTTGAAAATGAAAATAAAACATTTCAGTACTTGTGTACAGATTGTAATTTTTAAAGTGTGACTTTGAATTTCCATGGGCCTAAAGACCTTTGGTAGTCGCATTTTCTAAATATATATATGTTACCTGCAGTTCACAACTTAAAATTGATGGTGACTATAAGCTGTTAAGCATTATGTAACATTGCACCAAAATTGAGAAAAATATTTTGTGTACTGCCACTACAAATACTCTCAAAGGAAAACTGTTACGTAGTCATTATTTTGTGACTTACAAAAACGAATGACATATGGCTCAAACTGGCAAACCAGCTCGATTCGATTATTTTTCTCTTGTTGTCTGTACATTTGACAGCTTTGCTGCCTTGTTTAAATGTATTTTTATAAGACGTTTTGACATAAAATAACTTCTCCTTTCAGAAATATTCTTGACAACCTCCAGTACCCAGAAAACTTGGTGCACAGATTTATGAAAGAAGTGAGTTGAAAAAAATGACACAGATACACCTGAGCTTATTTTCGTTTTTACTTAACTCTTTTGGTTTTGTTTTTTATTTATCAGAATCACAATATTTAATATGCATATAAATATATAATTATTATAATTTGTTTATTTTTGTAAGAAAAAACTAAATTATGTACTGCATGCTGAAAAAGAGGTATTATTTCATAGATGACAATTTTAATTGTGAATTTCACAGTTATTTGCAATTCCTGTTGGACTGAGGCTTTCATTCATACAGCTTTTCATCAGGACCATAGAAAGAAAAGCTTTGGTCCTTATTAAGAGTGCAGAGGTAGACAGGTGAGTGTAGCAAGGTAGAGTTTCCAGTATTATTGAACTGTGCTAAAATTTCCTGTTGAAAACATACCATATAAATGAAAACTAAGGTTATTTTAAACTCTTTTGCTAGCATGAGGTTCATGTTTTGTTCTGTATTTGGTTACACGAAGAGTGAATGACCAATGAGAAATTGTAAAGTAGTTTATATATTTTGCAATTGGTAGCTGTTGATATAATGAAGACAGACTTTCTGTTAATTTGTATGAACATGGTGGGTGATTTAGATGTGTTGCCTTTTTTTGTTTTTAGTGACCAAGGAAGGTCAGCACCAAAGACAAATCCCAGGAAGTTGCGTCAAGATTTAGGACTTCAATTAGAGGGAGACTTCAGAATAGTTTTAGCAATGGCAGAAAAATTAAAACCAGGCATATATACCTATCTGCTAGGTGACTCACTCAATCATGAGCTAGCAAGAAATATTTCTTTGTATTCAGTTTGACAGCTGAAAATGTGATCAAAATTAATATGAAGGAAAAAAATTACATTTCCAGTCACATTCCCAGTTTATTTGATTACCTTTGTTTTTATGGTACTTTTTGCATTTCATGTAGTTTTCAATTTGGGTGCACAAAATTATTTCTTATTTTTTCATAGTGCCTCTGGTCAAGGCTAAGGCACAAAATGATTATATATTCTACTTAAGATTGAGTGTTTTGATATTGATGTTGTAGTTTAATGTTAAACATACTAGTTCAAGGCAAGAAGCATGTTTCAAATTTAAGATATTAATAGAAAATAATTTATATTGTTTAATATTGTTTTTCTTTTCTCTTTTTCTTTTTTCTTTTTCTTTTATTATTTTTTGATTACGTTTTTTATGTCTCTAGGTCATGCCACGTCTTGTCTAAAAATGTACTTTTTTGTGCAAAGTGAAGATGCAAGCAAAGCAAATAAAACGTTTGACCACGTGATGCCAATTCTTTATTTTTGGTATTTTGCTTGAAATTTGCTACGTTTTCCAAGCCATTTATCATTTATTATGTTTGTGAGTGTAGCCTCTATCTTTGCAAATGCCAGATGTCACTGACCATTACTTATGATATCATGCAGACAGTTTATATATACAGGCACTGCCCGTGTCTTTATGTATATCTGATGAACCTCTACCTATGCTGTTGCCTTCCAGCACATTTGTTCATCCCGTTAGTGACAAACCTTTTTCATTTTTTCTCATTTGATTTCCCCAGAAGTGTCAATAAACCGTTTTTTTTGTTTATTTTATTTATTTATTTATTTATTTATTTATTTATTTATTTATTATTATTATTATTATTATTATTATTATTATTATTATTATTATTATTATTTTATTTATTTATTTTTTGTAAAAAGGCAGTTTAAACTCGGTTTAATTGGTTAAATTTATGTTTTCTTTAGATACGTCAGTGGCTTCATTAGCGACTGTGGAATGAAGAAAAATGATTTTTATTCATTTTTCAATTTACCTTTAAAAATTTTTAATTTTAAATTTCCTCTTTTGTTGCAAATTGTTTATCGAAATCATTATTCAAATATTTCTGACATCAGATACAAATAGTACTAATTAAAATGCGAGTAAAATGGTATTTCCACAAGTTGTGTGATTATTATTGATTGTGTCACGGACGTTGGTTTTTTCTTAGTTTTGGGACAATCATATTATTATTATTATTATTATTATTTTATTTATTTATTTTTTGTAAAAAGGCAGTTTAAACTCGGTTTAATTGGTTAAATTTATGTTTTCTTTAGATACGTCAGTGGCTTCATTAGCGACTGTGGAATGAAGAAAAATGATTTTTATTCATTTTTCAATTTACCTTTAAAAATTTTTAATTTTAAATTTCCTCTTTTGTTGCAAATTGTTTATCGAAATCATTATTCAAATATTTCTGACATCAGATACAAATAGTACTAATTAAAATGCGAGTAAAATGGTATTTCCACAAGTTGTGTGATTATTATTGATTGTGTCACGGACGTTGGTTTTTTCTTAGTTTTGGGACAATCATAACAATACAATGTATGACACGAAAAAACGTGTTTTTCTGCCCACTGATTTTCCTTTCCTAACGTTCCTCCCCAATCGCCCAAAATGTTAAGATTGCCTCTCAAATGATTAACAAATTACGCTCGAATTAAGCATCCCCAAATATCGAAAAGGGAGTAAGTCGACTGACAATTAAAGCCAAACACTTTTTACACAGAAAGGTGACCCTTGCGCCTTTTTTGTGCGAACATGAAATGGCCAGGTCGTAGATGGACGGGTTGAAGGCACAGAAATTGCTCGCTAAGATCATACAAGGGTGGTAGACATATCGTCTTTGGCACCATGGTCGGCGCAAGTCCCCGAACATGTGCAAAACAGTTACACATATCGGTAAGGAGGTTGGTTCCTGAGAGGTGGGAAATATATCGCTGTAATGGCAGAGTAGATGCCTAATGGATGACACTTAATTGATTACAGATGCAAGTTCTAACAGTCAATCTGAACGTTGTTACTGCCTGCAATGTGCCACCTTTTTGCTCCCTTGACTGACATATATCATGCGTCCGTCGAACGTTGATGACGGCGACGGCAGTGCCTCCACGGTAATTTTTAAGCTTCTATGACCATACTTTTACTTTCTTTCCGTGTCCCTTCGTCCTACCCCCGCCAACCTTCCTCAGTGATTCACAAATGAAAGATAAAAATGCAATCTCACATAAATATATCTATTTTTAACATACTTGATACTCTGCCGCGAACGAATTGAAACCGATTTGATTTAAAAACTTTGTTTTGTATGGTTAATGCGAAAAACGCAAAGGATTAGTGAAAAAATTAAATTATGATGCAATCCAGGAATATTCCCACCTTTAAACTTACATAATTATGAAGATTGCCAGAAAGTTTTAAGCATTTATATACATGCATAAAGAAACATTCTTCAAGTTGTTATGAGATCAATCTAGACGTGAATAATTGCGACGTACGGGTATTTTCACTTTCACCGTGACTGTGAGTCTTGGAATATCTGCTTCAGATTTTAATGTTAATATATGTTATGTATACAACCATGAGGCATTTTCATACGCACTTATTTAATTAATCTGAACTGCATTACGATGTAAAAAGGCATTAAATTCTTACTATGTCACATATTTCAAACCTGCAGCACAAATGTGGTAGGTGGATTTCGATTGGGAGAGCCAAGAAAACATCGTCACTGCAGCATTTCAAACCTCAAACTACATGTAGTTTCTTTAAAAACAGTCGGTTATTATTTCCTGTGTTGTGAGCGATATGAGAGAGGATACGTGTGATAAATTAACAATAACTGCATACGTTCGTACTGACATACACACTGGCGCTAAATTTTTCGGATTTGAACGACACCTGGTTGTGACGGATGATCGGATTGAGGTAACGTCATGTCTTGCGTCTGCTCCTCATTACTGCAACACAACAGAGGAAGTCTCGCGGGAAGCGGCCAAGTGCACTGCAGTGATTTACAATCAAAATAAAGCACAACTATTTGAACTGTTTCCGCCAATTCAGCCCCGTAAGCCTGTCCCCACGTGACCTTTGTTTCTATTTAATTCCTAACGAATGAAACGAGAAAATATATTTCTCTCCTACTGGGACATTTTATAGCACTGTACAGGAATCTGTACGTGAGTTTATAGAAGTATTCGCAGAAGGGCAGTTCAGTAATGTGCTGTCAACATGCACATTTTGCAACAAATTCTTGATCGTTTAAAGCACTAATTCTCCTTCCATTTTTAGCAAACAGTTTTTTTTTAATATTTTTACCCACTAAACCTCTTTAACGGCATTGGTTTTAATATCTAAAACAGTCTCTCCGGAGTTTGATTTTATGTCTATTGTCCAGTGAAATTGAAACTACAAATTGCATTAGACCAAAATAAGAAATATGTACAACGTCTGCAAACGATCAAGGTAGCTTCAGCAACATGCCACTGAACTAATATTCGGTTTGATAATCCTTTTATTTATTTTATGTGTTTTCTCTCCGGGATAGCTGAATTTCGCATGTATATCACACCATCTTGGCAAGGCGCCCACGCTCAGCTAGTGATGGTGTAACCATACGTGGGGCTAGACAAGGTAAAGTGATCATTTAAACAGTACTTAGGCAAATCTTGGGGGCACTTCAACGGGCTCACGAGACATAACGAGAGAACGGCGAGGTCCACACATTCTTGTTCTATCAAATCTTGAGCCGGTGAAGATTTGTTATTACTTTCTGGAAGCTGCTGCCACTGTTGTGTAAACCAGCTGATGGTGAGAGCCGACAGACGTTCATTCTCATACACATTTTAATGGCCCATAGACTGCGGGTTTTAGCTTGTCTCCCGTGATCGTGTGTGTGTGCTTGCTTGCTTGCTGGGTTCCCTGCATCTTCAAGAGTTATAGTATTTGGTTATTGGAAACAGCTCTCAGATTGTGTGACAGGACGAGTAGAGGTTATCATCTGCGCATGTCAGAGGTTTGACCCGACTTAAGTCTTATATATATTAAGGCAAGAAGTTTGCCTTCAATATCAAAGGATCCTATTACTGTTCTAAGAATTATTCGCGGACAATTTACCAGTGCTATGCACTAATTATTAGTGCTTATAAACCCCATAATGCAGCATGAATGCTGTCGCCAGCGGTGGATACAAGCAGGACCAGTGGACGTAGACTCAAAATGTTTGGTGTGAAAGTATGTATGACGCTGTTGTGGCTTTGTTTATTGCCTGGCTGGCTCAGGACAGCAGCACACGTCAACGAATTTTTGCCATTGAGGAACAACATACAGACGTTACCTCAACATGGACGGAAAAAAGTAGAAGTGCTGGGTGAAACGCTCAAGCGGCAAGTGTCTAAGCTCAGACAAACCGCCAATCAACAGGTGGATTTAGTGTTTTTGGTGGACAGCTCAGGCAGTGTTGGCGAAATAAACTTCTTCAATGAGCTCAAATTTGTGAAGAAACTTCTTGCCGACTTTACTGTAGCCGAGCATGCTACACGTGTTGCCGTGGTAACGTTTTCATCTGCATCTCGCATCGAACGCCACGTCGATCATCTCACACGACCAACTGCAGATCGACACAAATGTTCCCTTTTAGAAGAGGATTTACCAAAGATTTCCTTCACTGGGGGTGGGACATATACTTTAGGGGCAATGGAAGAAGCGAAGGTAGGTGAATGAATCTGTCAGAATTAGGTAATTAATATAGTTGGTCTTCTGTTGGAGTTGTTGACCCGTTAGAGTGCACACAATTTAATATTACGGCAACGAACTCTGTGAGACTGTAGTTATGTAACAAGAAGACGAAATGATAGGCGGACACCCAAGAATCTGTAAAAGTTTATTGGGTCCAATGAAAAACGAACCGAATCGGGTCAGACGCATGGTGGTTTTAACTGCAACCCAGACATTGTAAATTTCATCAAAGTTCTTGAATTCTAAGTGGTAACCAGTCCCAATTGGAGAGGCGTTTCCAGTTTCACAACAATTATTCCTTTCTGCCTGTATCGACTTCATACAGCTGCAGCTCGGCCCGACCTGTAACGGGGCATTGCACAGCAGCCCGACACACAGATGTTTACTATTCAACCTCTTGTAGGAAAGAGGGATTTAGAAAAACCACGCTACGTTATACTCAACTCCGCTTTGGTCGATTCAACATAGTTTTTTGCAGAGAGAAAGGGGGTGGTTTAAGTCAAACGTGCGTTGGCTGTGTTATTCTTTGTACTCTCCTGGTGTGCAGGATCTTCGTTAACAGGTGGCGCATAGATTTGTTTGTCTTTGCTGTCTATTGCGCGCTTCGTCTGATCTGTCCATTTTATGCGTCCAGAAGTTTTTAAGTGCCCGTATAAATAACCATTATGAATGAATTTGTCTATACTTTTTCGACACAAATCAAAACGGCATTTTCAATAAACTTCGCTCTTCAATCGAAGAACTCCAAGCTTTATTTAGTTAAGTAATCTGGTTAGTTTAGTCTTAGGTTGTTTTATCTCAAAAGCGTAGTACTTGAAGGATAAGGCAGTTGATAGCGAAATCCTCAGACGTGGTGAATTTTAATGTTTTAAATGGAGTGTTTAATTTCAATGTTTTAAATGGAGTGGTTGGTCGAAATTGTTTGAGATACCCCATTTTCTCTTCGGTGACTGTAGACCCCCACAACACCTCACTCCACCTGTCGGTAAGAGTATTTTATTTTAAATGTTAATGTTTCTCCCCAGTTCTATTTTATTAATTTTTTCGACATAGGCTCAGGGCAATCACGCATAAAAATATCTTGCAATTTGTTAAACATTAAACCGTTAAAATGGTTCGCATAGAAAGTTGAAAAATATCATGCAATTCTTTCTCGTTTGGGACAGATGTTCATAGAACGCTAACCGTAAGTAGCTACTTATAAACGACATAACTTGTGATATTAGTCATGACTATACTCTGGTATCAAACGTCAACATGAATATAAAAAAATCAAAAATAAGTCTGCGACCACCCGTATAGCTACTTGAAAGGAAAGTTAGATAACAAGGCAGCGTGGATTTAGTGGAATTTCACCAAGTATAATAAGTAACTTTAGATCTTTATTTTAAGTCGTTCATTCTTTTGCCTTACCTTTATCCTCTCTCTCTCTCTCTCTCTCTCTCTCTCTCTCAAACATTTCTATGACGTTAAGAAAGTAAAAACATACAAAATGCAAAAGGGAGAAAGATGCATTATTGAATGTTACAAACCTGATTATATTTAACTTTTGCACATGTGCGATTAGAAATAAGAAGGTTGGCACAGCAGATATATGAGAAAAATCGAGCTTAGCCAAACATGAATGAGCAGAAACCTCCCGTGGTGAAGCTAGTTTAATAGTTTGAAAACAGGATTCCCAAATACTGCCCTTTCCAAAAGCGTGACTAAGAAAGTAAGGCAACATAATGTGATGTCAAGAGAGATCTATGGCAGCCCATCTGTACGGCAATATCGGGTCGCTGCGCTTGGATTCATAGAGAATATCTCCGTCATCAGCACATGTGTGAAGTAAGTTTGCAGGTGTGGCACGCATTCCTCACCACGGCTCTTAGACAGAGTTACGTTTTATCGCAGTTTTACTCGTTTTTTATTATTAAAAGATAAGTAGTGAAGAAAACTGAAAGAGTGAAGAAACGAAGGGTGTGGTCAAAATATGGTCCCCTAATGATACTGTATCTGCGTTGTACCCACCACTTTTTGAACACCGTGGATTTAATAACATGAGATTGATTTATAATTATTTGACATATATTCCATGATTAAGAAATAATAAATTTTCATACAAATATTGATTGTGCCAAACTTAATGAAAATGTTCCTTTCCTTTTCTTATTCTTTTAGGTCTAGGTATTTTTAAAAATTAATATGCTCTTTACATCATCTTTGTGAATAATTAGGAGACATTAAACTAATGCACACCAAATATTCATGTTGTGGAATTTTACATCATTCTTGTTTATTTGTTATTTAGACTGCTTTTTTACACGGAAGCGTTTTTAACTTTTAAACATTTTTGACTCTTGCGCTGTTGTGGATCTCTCAAATACATTGCAGTCGACAAAAACAATTTCAAATAGAAACATTCGTAAACGTGAACGAATAGTCATTATAGATTTCAGTTTTCCATCAAACTATCATTTATTTAATGCATTTCTTAACGTTTTCATCTAATTTCCTTTTATGCGCTTAATTTCAAGGCATTGAGAAAATGGTTAGCTTTCAAACTTGAAAAATTGAGAATAAAAAAGTGTCAATGACAGAATTTTAGTGGGTAATTTCTTTCAATGTAACATCTGTCTTTGTTATATAAGTATTTTTTAAGTTGGCATAAGCAATCGACCCTTCAGTATCAGGTCTGACTGTTTATATCAACCGTGTGACATTTCAAACTAATCAGAGAAGCATATCGTCGATTTACGGTGTCAAATTCTCCTTTATAATCTTCAAATTACACTATTTACGCCCATATCTTTCATCCCGCCGTGCTGGTGAACCTTTTATAGGGATTGATGTAAACAAACGTGCTCTCACGGAGTGGAACAGTCGTCATTTTAAAACTCATTGGCTTTTCAATCTCATACTAAACAAATGTCCGCATTGCTTCAATATAATTCTAAACCCATAATAATAATAATAATAATAATAATAATAATAATAATAATAATAATAATAATAATAATAATAATAATAATTATTATTATTATTATTATTATTATAGTTCTTCATAGTTAATATGTGTTTTTGAACTATGAGCTCGTAAGAATAGACAAAAACTTAGGCAAAGATAGCAAAAAGTTCTTTCCTGTTTATATTTTTCTCTGGTTTCACGAATATGTCGTCTGCATGTCTACCTACTTATCTTCTATCTCCGTTGTTTATTTTATCAAAGAGTTTCCAAGTGAAAAAATACCGATGAGAAAGTTGTAGTGTTTAATGTGTACTTAAAGTTTGATAAGTCTAAACCATAGGGGAGAGAGAGAGGGAGAGAGAGAGAGAGAGAGAGAGAAAGGGTAAGAAAGAGGGTTTTACTTGTAAATCTAAAAAATATTACGTCCCTGGTGTTTCTTTATTTCATCTGTCCCCATGGAGGGTCGGAGTTAAGCATTTTATTCAGATTGAGCGCATGCACGACCCGCCAAGGAAACACTTGCCACCAATGATATATGTCCCTAGGCCATGTGCGACAAAAATACCCGACATTCTTGTGTCAATTACCTTCCATTGAACTGTGTCAAGGCATGCAAAATGAACCTACTTCAAACCACATAATATTACTCAATCGAGAGCTCTACTGCAGTGGTGGTGTAGCGCGTTGAAACCCTGTGTTTCTCGTGAAAATAACCACCTTGTTCCGTAAATGTTGTATTTATAAGGCTAATTACTGATAAAAATTTCGAAACCAACTTCAACGTGATCACGCCTGAAATGAAAATGTTCCAATCTTTCCTTTTAATTATCTACACAACGGACATCTTTTTTGATTACCTAAATGCACGTATACGTGTGCTTTTGTACCAACTGATCATGACTTTATGCTTACTCTAAACCATGCATTGCATTTTTGTTACTATGGATGGGAAATATAAATTTGATTATTAGGTATTGTATAATTTTGCTTTTTATACATTTCAAACTATATGGGTAAAATATGTTATAATAAATCTACTGTTAGAAAGCTGGGCATTTGGATGAAAGACGCGATTAAGGAAAAAACTGTAGTATTTGTATAAAATTGCAGAATGATTTACGACCCTCTTTTCAAATAGTCTATAGAGAAGAGTGATCATATTGCTTAAAATTTGAACTTTCATCACAGAAACCTCGAATATAGATATCATAACCGCATTTAAGAATTTCCATTTCCGGGTCCTTATTGTCTTTTCTCTTCGTGTGTGTGTGTATATATATATATATATATATATATATATATATATATATATATATATATATATATATATAGTGCGAGCAGCAAATTGAAATAGGGGAGAAAATAGTCGCATCATATTAATAAAAAGAATATTCCGCCATTTAGAAAAGACTAAGCCATCAAACAAATTATAAAGATAAAAAAACAAATAATTGTGGTAGATGTGCTACGATTGTGTACGGTATTTGTCGTCTTCCTGAGTCCAATGACCATGCTCATTTACTATGGACGTTTTGAAGTCTAGCCAACTTATTTCAATCTTTTTAAGAATGCGTGTCAGTGGACTTCATCCTGCAGGTCCTGAAATAAGAGAGCCTCTTTACTGAAACACTTCCATTTTCAAGGTTCTGGAAAGTCTAGTTTTAATGTTTCATATTTTTAAATTCAATTGCATCGCATTCTGCATAAAACATGACGTATATATGCATAAATGGCAATTTAAATTTTATTGTTGCTCATATAGGTAGGCCTATACAACCCATATGATATAATTTTAGTAGTTGAAATGGCTCAATCGTATTTGAATCAATTTGCGATTTTATTATGCAGATGTTATTTAACAATAGAAGCACTGGAAACCCCTGAATAGCAAATAATGATAATAATAATAATAAAATAATAATAATAATAATAATAATAATAACTGGAAATACATATTTCTTTCTATAGGAAATTTTGGCGGCGGGCCGTCAAAATTCTTCCAAAGCTGTAATATTGATAACAGATGGCTACTCTAATAATGGGGATCCACGGCCAGTGGCCAAGGCCCTTAGGGACCAAAACACCAAAGTGTTCACTTTCGGTATACGAAACGGTAACACACGTGAACTTCGAGAAATGGCTTCAGAACCCAAGGATGAGCACAGTTACATTTTGGACAGTTTTGAAGAATTTGAGGCCTTGGCTAGGCGAGCGTTACACGAAGGTGAGCTGATATGAAAATGTTTGTAAATACTGAGAAAACTCACATACATGCGTGCACAATAAGAAAGCAGTTTGTTTCTCTAAATTCCTTTACTGCACACAGAGGTCAGTCAGAAAGGCAATGCCTGTAATAGTTCCATTCACTTCTAGACAACTTTCTTAAATTTTAATAAATACTTTCATAGATCTTCAAACTGGTGGCTATGTAACACAAGACTCAGAAAAATGTGACAACCTTTGTGAGGAGGGAAAGATGTGCTGTGACTCGTCAGCAGCGTGCAGATGTGGAATACACACGGGACACTACCAGTGTGTTTGCGACCCAGGTTTCTATGGTAACGGTTTGCAAGGCGATTGTAAAGGTAAAAACACTATCGGTGGTATTAAGTAACGTCTTAATGAACCTTTTCTGTCTTGCAAAAGTATGTTTAAATTAAATTGCCAAAACTGTTTGATGATTTTAAACTACAGTAATATGTTGCTATACAGAGTAATCTGCCATTGATGAATGGCTGGTAATTTGTCTGTGAATATATCTAAGAACACCGTTTTGTTACTCTTAGATTTGACCTATCTTGTAACTGTTTCTCTGTATTATAGGCAACTTACATCCCCAAAATCCAACCCAGTTTTCAGATACTCTGCACAAGCGTAAGGCTTTCTTTATACATAGGTTTTACTCTCAGTATGCACATTTTTTGTAGCCTTTATATATCTGAATAGATAGATCTGAAAAGGTGTGAAAATTTTAAAGTGCCCCATCTTTTAGAGTTCATTAACTCATTCATTCACACATACATACATACATGTACATACATACATACATACACACACACATACATACATACATACATACATACATACCAGATTAAGGAAGAAAATGCAATAAAAAAAGGGGAAAACGTTTCCGACTCGAACAAACACCCAATCGCGAAATAATGAGCAGTTTTTTCCGCTGTCGGGATCCTGCCACAACTATGAAGTGTATAAATATCTGAGGCAGCTGGAAGAACTGCGCAATTTTCGGTTACCAAAAGAGTAACTGCCTGTGACACAACCAGAAACGTTAATGATTTGAACCACATCGCCGCATACAGTGTTTAGCCCAAATCAACTCACTATTCACACATGAATAATCGTTCCTACATCTTTATTTTGGTTTCTCTGACAAAAAAGGCGGAAATTCCAGATTTCGCTTACTAAAACAAATTGAGATGTCTCGCTTACAGTTTTTTTAACGGTCAGTCGGTCTTCTAATCCTCTCTTCCTAAGAATCTGGGGCATGTCGCTTCTTGCCGGTTAGACATTTTATGTTCCGTTTTTCAGACGCGCAGAAAAAACTAGACCTATATGTCCTCCAGCTACGTCACTATCTCTTACAGACATTCGTCATAAGAATCTTAAAAAATAAGCGGAAGATGAAACGTTTTGTTTTGGATGTAGGGTCTAATATTTATATTTGCGTGCCGTAGAATTGTCTAAAGGTAACTGTTAAATAACAGAGATGCATCTCAAAGCATGTTTTTGGGCGAGTGCTAAATTTGGGTATAAAAGGGGCCATACTTTGGTTGTCTAATGTCTTCCCGTTTTCCTACAATCTTGATACAATGAAGAAAGCGTCTGCTGAAATCACAAACGCGTTCAACATTCCTTTAGATTAGTTGAATAAAACCCCTTTCTCAAAATGATATATTTATGTGATATAAAAATTCAAGCAACACACACGACCGTTCACTCGGCTTTGGCTAAGGGAAGAAAAGTGTTCTGAATAACGTATACGTAAGTGGTATTTCTGAGTTTGGAACTCTACAGGGAAATTTTTTGTAAGCTTCAGAAGATTGATGGCACTTATGATATTTGTTACTGTAATTTTTTCGCACCAATATTCTTTATGCTGTTCTTTTAACGTTGCTTGCTCTCTGCACCAGTTTAACCCCTGCATCGACCCATTGATAAATCGTACAGAATTATTCGATCGTCTGCTCTGGGTTTTCTATTCCAAATTGAACAACAGTGTTAGTAAATTTGGACACGTGTTGGGTAATGAAAGAACATCAAATGCCGGCTGGTGGTCATTCCATTGTTTTGTTAAGTCATCCGAGTTCCAGGTTATTTAGATGATACGAGCCAGGCATTGACTGAAATAAGTTTCAGTGTAAAAAGTTAACAGAGCAGAAGAATCTCCCTGGCATTAATTTTCACGTACTGTGAAATAAGGAAACGTTATCATGATGGGAATCTGAACCCAGCTGTGCCTTCTACCAGTCGAATCGTTGGAAGTCCCCCAGAAGGTGTTGGACTGAAAAGGCTCTCTTGCTTATAAAATTTTCACTGCAACGGGATACTTCCCCTCAGAACCTCTTTTAGAAAAATGCCTCCCTCGGTCGATTTGTTGAGTTAGGACATATTAAACACATTCTAGGACATTAAGTGAACTTTAAATGGTGTTGGATTAGACTGAAAAAACCTTGTATGAAAATCGCATTCAACAAAATGGAGAAATTGGCTTTTGAAATAGCATGTACCATGGGCATATCGTTTCCGTTTATTTCCATATAATAAATGTGCCCAGGAACTTGAAAGAGACAAACAGTAAGCAACAATGTAATGGGTAAAAACGAAAATCTAAACCCATTTTTCCGTACGAGCTTGTGAATTAAAACATCTTTCATTATCTATCTTAACAGGATGTCCGAGTGGAACATATAAAAATACCTCTATTCCCGGAGATGAGAGCACGTGCACGCCGTGTCCAGATCCCAACCACGTCACCCCAGTGGGCAGCACCAAGATCCAGGACTGCACATGTAAAAAAGGATTCAGGACATTTGGAGAGTTTGGATGTGCAGGTATAATTTCGGCCACTTGCAAATGCACAATGACCACCAGAATCAAGAGCTGCTATTATATTTCACAGTCTCGATTTTAATTTTTTTTTTTTTTTGCAATTTCTAATAATTCAAGGCTTCGATTAAACTTCTAAAAGGCTTGAAAAAGGACACCGGCATTAAAACTCGCCTACACGGGGCAATATTTAATTTCTAAAGTGATATCAGATTTCTCGTAAAGTGCTCTTTGACATTTATTTAGAACCTTGAACTCTTACAAAACTCAGAGAAAGTCGTTCAAAGAATAATGGTTTTAGCTTCAGAATATTTTTTTCGGTTTAAATCTTCAACTGGTTTAATGCCTTTCAATGATTTATTGATTCATGTTTTGTATTTTATATGAAGTTCTAACGTGTCCAGACATTGCCCCTCCCGGAAATGGTTATTTTGTCAAAGGCCAGTGTAGCAATGAGTTCAATGCAGCATGCGGCGGGAGGTGTGCCCCCGGGTATCAGATGCTAGGTAGCAGTGTGAGGCTATGTCAAGAGGACGGCACGTGGTCTGGCACAGACATCTCTTGCAACAGTAAGAAGGCCTCACTTAAGAATCTCCGTATAGCACACTTAGAAATCAACGAGCACATTTACCTCGGAAATTAACGTCAGAGTAGCACTGAAAATTGAAAATAGTTCTTATCATAGAGATGGATTGTCCTACAACTAATTTAAAGGATGAAAATTACCGTGGGTTAAATTTTACAGTATATTGGCGACTATTGGTATTAAGAAATTAGATCACAAAAACTATATTTACCTGGTACATTTTAGTAAAGAAGTGTACGCCGCTGAAACCCCCACGTGGCGGGCGCATGGTTTGCACGAAAAATGATTTCAACTACCAGACAAAGTGCAAATTTTCATGTGACAAGGGGTACGAGCTGCTGGGATCCAGTAAAAGAACATGCCTGGCAATAGCTGTTTGGAATGGAATACCGACTAAATGTAGAGGTAGGCTCTTTTTAAATGTGTTTAACGTTCGAAACAAGTTTTCTTTTTCTGTCGGGAACTAAATAGTGTGTCAAAGACATGCATACAACTAGGTGCTAGGGAATGTGGTGGAGAATGTTTAGAATTCAATGAATGTTTAGTTCAACAGCCACACATCTTATTACTATATAGTATTCTTCTTCGTTTGGTAAAACACATGCTATCCATTTAGTGTTTCCCTTTTTTAAATCTTCAAAGTTAAAAAAATACAAATCATATTTTAGAGGTCCAGTGCCCTCCCCTACCAGAACTGAAGGACGGTTACGTTGTTCCTGCAGCTTGTACAACTGAGCCCGCCTCTTATGGTGTCATCTGCACGATTTCGTGTGAATTCGGTTATACCCTTGTCGGGCCGTACACAAGACAGTGTAACGAGTTCGGGAAGTGGAAGAGTAGCAGCTTAGTCAGCAAATGCGTTGGTATGACCAGCATTTCTTGTAGTATTTCAGTTGCGTTAAAATTAGCGCAAGAATACATGTAAAGTTTGGGTGTTTAAAAATATTGGCTAGCGTTATCTCAAACCGGACCGGGATTTGCGATCCCGTAAATCGAACCGAAAGAAAGAATTATTATAGTTCCAATTCGAATTTATCATTAAGATTCGAACTTATCAATTCTAGACACCACAGAACCCAGCATCATGTGTCCCGATGACATCACAGTGGTGGCGGACGACCACGAGAACACGGCTGAGGTAACATGGGAGGTGCCGGTGGCTATAGACAACTCGGGCTACGTACCAACGGTAACAGTCGTGCCCGCGGTCGTTCCTCCCAGAAAATTCCAAATCGGCAGGACCAAGGTGACATACCACGCTGAAGATCTGAATAAAAACCGCGCCAAGTGCAGCTTTGTCATCACTGTTAAAGGTACTTTTTGTTTTGCCTTCCCGTTTCTCTTTCTGTGTTTGCTGTGTCACAGGCTCAGCTACAATTTCCCTACAATGTTTTTGAAAATATGACTTAGTTGAAGGGTCTGATATGATAGTAGAGGTAAATTTCTATAAAAAGGTAATCCAATAATATTTATGAAATCTTCATTATGCACGCATTCATATGTTGCATACCTAACACAAACATGCAAATTACAACCTACGCAAAGATGATCATCAAAGTTTAAAGTTTTATTATGGGTACTGGTTGTTACATTTACACTGGCGCTGTTCTATTCTTTGTGACAGATGAAGAGCCACCAAGACTAGACAGATGTATATCACCTCCACCGGTGGTATCCACACAACGTGAGCATTACGTGGAATGGGTAGAGCCCCTTTTCTCGGACAACTCACAGGAAGATCTCACTATTAAGTCTTCTCACAAGCCCGGGATGTTTAAATTAGGGAAAACAGAGGTCTTCTACACAGCCTACGATCCTTCGGGGAATAAAAACAACTGTACTTTAGAAATCATAGTGCAAGGTTTGTTTTATTAGTTTTTTTTATTGGTTGAATATATTTCTTAAATACTTAGGCGTTGAATTTGCTCTACCCCTTTGCTTGGTGCAGAAACTATTGCTCGGAGGATACAAATGTTTATGCTCTATGTAGTCGGCGCATGTTTACCCTTCACCAAGCCAATTTTGTACGAAATCAGTTTTTATCTTTTATTATACAAGTGTTGTCAATTTGATATACTTATTGAAAAAAGTGATACCGGTACGATAAAAAATTAAAAGTCAAATTGATATGTAGTAAATGATCAACACTCTTTTATATGCCTTAATTGAAATAACAGTTCTGTAAAGTCGTACGCTTTCTTTGTAAAATGTGTCTAAATTATCAATCACATCTCACAGAGTGAAGCTTTCACCAACCTGATTTACGTTTGTAGAGCACAAGTGCACAGTCCCGCCTTCCCCAGTCAATGGTAATGTGAATTGCAAAGAAAATCAGAATAATATTCACTGCACTTTATCCTGCATGGACGGATATGGTTTTGCAATTGTTCCTCCTGAGTCCTACTCCTGCCATTTTGATGAGGGTCGCTGGTCGCCTTCAGATAAGATGCCCGATTGTTCAGGTAATGATGAGTAGGCTAGCTGCTGTTCTGTGTCCAGAAAAGTCCAAAATTTCCAAAACACATGGTAATACTGTGGAATAATTCTATCAAGATAGATATGAAAACAATAACAGTGAGAATATGGCTTTACAGTTAATTTGCTAAATCTTACCCGTTTGTTGGCGATGAGTTTTTATTTGAGAAAAAAGGGAGGAAACAGTTAATGGTACTTGCAGTTACGGTACATTTTTTCTTTTTTTATTTGACAAAACGGATATATACTTTTAGTTTGTACGCAGACAATAAATTGAGCACATTGCTTTTCCCTAAGATTGTTTTTGTAACATGTAAACAGTTAGCATCTGCGACAAGTGAACATGGTTTAAATGATTTGTGTTTGTAGAGAAAAAGATGTCAAACAATGTTATTCAACCCGCAAGAATAACCTACAAAACCAATGTGTGTGCGGATAGACTGTTGTTGAACGAACTTGAAAATGATTTGCAGAGTCAGTTGTCGAACAAGGTAATTTCTGCAGACAGACAAAATAACAACGCTTATAATGAGTGTGAATTTAACGGGTCGAATAAAGAGCTGAATAGTAGGTCTTTTTGACGCAATCCGTCGTTGCGCTATTGTGAAAGCTATGTAACAAGTGCGCTCAAAGAAACTTAAAACAGCTTTTTTAGTGATTACCCCACCAAGGAGAAATAAAAGTCACGTTTTCGGTATTCTAGGTTCAATATTGTTGCCAGTGCCTTATTTTTGTAGGTAGCGCACATCTGTGAAGAGAACGTTATTTGCGGCGTTGAAAACACTGAAGGTATCTGTGAAGAGTATGATAACAGTAAGTATCGCTATCACAGTAAAAAACGAAGAGTGGAACTAAAAGCAGATGATTCAATAGTGTAAAAAAGCGACTGTGGCTGAAAAGGATTCATTTTGTGCTAAATATAGATGGATGGAATTGTGACAAAGTCAAAAAATGCTTAAATGGATTTTTGTTCTTTGTCACGTTTTTTTTAACCATGCGATGGCAACGATTTTTTCTAACAAAATTTACAAGTTTTCATTTAAGCCAGTAGCAAATAAAAGGAACTAACATATTTATTGTTTGTATGTAAACAAGTGGTATATGTATATATTTATTTCGTTTTGATAGAAATCAGGAATCCCTTTAGTAGATTAAGCAGACGCAAGAGAGATGACTCCATAACGAAAGTGAAATTCACCTTTCAAGTGCGAGGTAAGTCTGTAAACCATCAAGAGTTGAAAGTCAGAACTATTCGTTTAGATTTCTTCAAAGCGTCTGTTAGCCATACACGGACCTTCATAAACCCATAACAAAACCTAATTATGACTTCATTTAGGTTTTGTGAATACGACAAAGAGTGACCACGCCCAGCACTCTCTGATGGAAAGCATAGGTCTTGTGAAACGCAACCTAAAGACAGAAGCCAGGCAGGGACAACTGGACATCATGATGGGAGACCAGCCGCTTCATTTTGAGGACATAGAATTTTTACTCGAAACACCGAAATTTGTTTGTGAGCCTGGGAGTGTATTGCGAAAAAACGTCTGCGGTAAGATTTAGATTGAGATTTATTTATATTACAGGGCTGAAAATTTTTTCTTAGCAGAACCAAAGGCAAAACGTTTGTTTTCTTGTAAATTGTGGCAATTGTTTTGAAAAAGATGTACCGACAATAAAAAAAGCTAGCCGTAAGTGTGCGTTTGTGCGTGTGTGCGTGAGTGTCTGTCAACCACCTTAGTGTCGCTGTTATTAGTCGAATAGAAACGTGTTTTAATTTAATTAAATTTTAATCAACCGTAACAAGTAAATATCAAGTGAGTGATTATTTATCTTTTTGTCGTTTTTTTTAGTAAACTGCCCCGTCGGAACTTTCTTCAACGTAGTAACAGAGGAATGCGAGAGTTGTTCCGTGGGTACTTACCAAACTAAAGAAGGTCAACAGACGTGCCTGGTGTGCCCAAACAAGACATCCACAGCCACAAATAATTCAAAGAGTTTAGGGGAGTGTAAAGGTACATTTTTCACTCATTCATGGAAAATTATCAAGACGTTTGTTTTAATATGAACGCACATACATTGTGGTGCTTTATATAGAGAGGTTGATCAACAAAACTTGTTTCTTTTTATTTTGTCTTCCAGCCCAATGTTTGCCTGGAAGTGTGTCTTATGATGGTCTAGAGATATGTGAGACATGTGAAATAGGGTATTATCAGGCTGGATATGCACAGACCTCGTGTGACAAGTGCCCAGGGAGAAAGACAACCTGGAGGAGAGGGACCAGGAAAGCTGAGGAATGTAAAGGTAAAGGTTTCTTTCACTATAGCAATCACTGTAAACTGAATGAAGAAGAAATTTTCCATATATCAAAATTCCATTTACATGTTTATGGTGCGTGAAGCAAAATCCTTATTAAACCTTATTAGAGTTAGACCTTTTATACACTTTTTCCAATCATAACTTTCACAATTATTTCTTCCTGCACTAGATAGGTGTCCTGCAGGTGAGGTGTCCAAGACAGGCCTTATGCCTTGCTTTCCATGTCCTAAAGGTTTCTTTCAACCAGAGGAAGGCAGTTCATTCTGTAGACTGTGCCCAAACAAGGCCACCACCAATCACACTGGTTCTACCAACATCACAGATTGTGAAGGTAAATTTGACAAATTTTACAAATCTACATCATTTTCATCTTCTTTGGTGTAAAATGGTGTAATATGTAAAAGTAAGTTACAAATTATATAAAATATTCTTGCTTTTAGGAAAAAATAATGATAACCATATTCTTTTGACACTTGCGTGGTTTTGGTAAACAGAATAATTCTGATTCAAATACAAGTATCTGCCAGTGTTATTTATAAAATGGATTTAAAAATTCAAGGTATTAAGGAACCAGACATTCATGAAAACACTACAGAGGTTCACATCAATGAATGTTTCTTGGAGCCATGCCAGAACAGAGGCCAGTGCCAGAGCTTGAAGATTGGATACACATGTCAATGCCTACCTGGTTATACTGGTGAGCTGTCTATACATGAATTCAGTCAGCACAAAGAAAAGGGGTTAAATAATTCAGATACATAGTAATTTTTCTGTCTTGCCTTTTTCCCCAGCATAACTTGAGGGTTTGAGAGCAAAGGCTGTCTCCACAGTATGTACATGGTCCCATGCTGGTTTACTAGTAATTCAAACATATTCAACATTTATGTGATTACAAAAAGGATATTGCTTCGTACCTTAACAGTACGATTTCATTTTAAAGATAATTTTTACATACTGAAATGTTGTATGAGCATCTGTACTGTATAAGAATTGACTGTTCTGTTTAAGGGACTGACTGTGAGACTGAAATTGATGAATGTCAATCAAGGCCTTGCCAAAACAATGGAACCTGCCAAGATTTTCTGAACTACTTCAAGTGCACTTGTCTTGAGGGATTTACAGGTACATTATGTGTGCTGTTTAAACTGAAGTGAAGTTACATTTTAAGAATGTTACTGTTGATTCAGTTTTATTTAATCAGTTTCACATTTTCTTTTCAATGAGGAATATATGTTCACATATTTCCAGACCAATTTTTGAAACTTCTTTCACCATCATGTCTTGCCAGTTTGAGACTTTGCATGTGATTTCAAATTTTGATAATTTAATAATTCATAACTCATGCAGCTAAAATACTCAAAGTGTTTTTAATTTTAGAAAATGCAAGCATTCAACTGCCAGTGTTATGGCTTACATTGATGTTACTATAGCTTCTTTCAGGAGAATCTTGTGAGACTAATATTGACGACTGCCAAAATGCACCTTGCTGGCATGGAGGACTGTGCACCGATCTTATTAACAGTTACAAGTGTTCTTGTAAAGCAGGATATACAGGTAATACACTTCTTTGACACATGATTAAATGAGACAGATGTATTCACAATAAATATTGAATAAAATTTTCAATTACTTATGACATTTAAACAAAATATGTGAAATTAAATTGTTCATTTCAGCCAAGTTAATTTTAGTTAATTTTATTAAAATTTATTAAAATAATTCTAACATAAAATACTAGTGTAATATAAATTTAAGTCATATGAATATAACGATGATAAACTGATATGAATATATATATTCAGTAAATTAAAATTTGTATTTTAATTTTTCTAACAGGACAAAACTGTTCCATTGATGTCAATGAGTGTGCCTCATCTCCATGTCAGAACAATGGGAACTGCCTGGACCATATTAATCGCTATTCATGCCTCTGTCCCTTTGGTTTCACTGGGGACAACTGTGAGACAGACATAGATGAGTGTGCCAGTGGACCCTGTGTAAATGGGGGCACCTGTCAGGATGGACATGACTCCTTTGTGTAAACTATTGTTTATGAATAACAGAATTTAAATTTGTGAACATATTTTGTAATGAACTATCACAAGCAGTGAATGTAAAAAGTACAAAATTTGACAATCTTTTTATCATGGAGATTGCTATGCAATAAAGTCTGTTGTTTTTTGTCAACAACTTCCTGTTTATTGTAAAAAAAGGGCTCTATTATGTTTCATGCTGATTGAGGTTCAAAAACTTTTCCAGATGCTTGTGTCAGCCAGGATATGCAGGAAGGTTGTGTTCAGTGAATGTGGATGAGTGTTCTTCTCAACCCTGCAGACATGGTGGAACATGCTATGATTCTGTGAACAGTTTTACTTGTATATGTCCACCATCCTTCACTGGGAATCAGTGTCAAACAGGTGGGTTTCATATACAGGGTGGTCTATAAAAAACCTTTAAGGTAGTCAAATTTCAATCATTATCATCATCATTTCATGCCACATGGACTTTCCTTGGCCACCCTACCTTGTACTCACCAGATCTCAATCCCCCAGATTTCTTCCTTTGCAGGCACCTTAAAGAAAGAATCCATGTTAACAATTCACAAATTCTAGACACTTTGAAGACCAACATACAAAGAGAAGTAAGGAACAGTCCTACTGACATGATTGCAAGAGTTATTGCCAATTTCAATGTTCGTGTAGCTACAGTTATTCAGTAGCGAGGAGCATGGATAGAACACATTATTACCTCTGCCAAGGAGGTTATGTTTTCACCCCTGTTTGTTTGTTTGTTTGTCTGTCATCAACATAACTCAAAAAGTTATGGACCTATTTTGATGAAATTTTCAGGAACTGTCAGAAGTGGGCCAAGGAACAGATGATTAGTTTTTGGTGGTTATCCGGATCAATCAATAATCAATAATCAAAATATCAAAAATTTAGGGGTGAAACAGCATTGGATGGGGACTTTGCTGCCTTGGCAGAGGTCTGTGCTCTCTGAGTACTTTTCTAGTCAATTATTGATATTTGACTACTTTAAAGGTTTCCAATTTCTGCTGAATTTGCAAGGATAAAATGGTCATCAGTATGGAACAATTTGGTGAAAAAAGTTGGAAATATCTTAATTACTTGTATATCAAAGTTGCAATGAAAAGTGAAATAGGTCATTTTTTATGGACCAACCTGTATAAGTCCTATCATCATCATCATTGCTCTTCGTCCCGCGTGGGACATAAGGCCACAGTCACTTCTTTCCACTTGGCCCTGTCTCTGGCTACGTGCTGGGCCTGTCCCCATGTAAGGTCCCCCTCCCTCAGCTCTGCCATCATTGTTCGGCGCCAGGTGGTCTTGGGCCTTCCTCTCTTTCTTTTTCCGGGTGGTGTCCATCTCAGAGCTACCTTTGGTACTCTGTTCTCGTCCATCCTAAGTACATGGCCGAGCCATTTAAATCGCCGTCGCTTGATCTGCCCTACAATACTCTGGCTCCCTGTCAGTATGTACAGGTCATGATTGGAGATCTTATTTGGCCAGAATATGCGGCAGATCCTGCGGAGACACCTGTTATGGAAGGACTCTACTCTGCTCATGTCAGACTTTGTAACTCTCCAACATTCAGACCCGTAGAGCAGAACAGACTTCACATTGCTGTTGTAAAGATGGACTTTGGTGTGTAAGCTGTACTGCTCTGACTTCCAGATTGTGCGGAGTCTAGCGAATGAACTCTGGGCCTTGCCAAGTCTTGCCCTGATGTCCTTCTGAGCCCCGTTGTCTTTGCTGATTAGACTGCCCAGATATGTGAAGTCGTCGACAGACTCAAGTGGTTTCCCACTGACGGTGATAGGTGCTGTCGTACTGTTGTTAATGCACATGACCTGGGTTTTGGTGGTGCTGATGGCAAGTCCC